TGGGATGCCCCCAAAGGTCAAATCAATGCCGTGCTTAGGTCGCTCCTGGCGATTTGGGCTTGCGATATAAGGTTTGTAGGGTTCAGGATTGAAGTTGAGGCCCGCCGTAGGCCAAAAGAGTTCAGGGCTCATAGGTTTTGCATGCAGGGCTTCGGGTTTCAGCGTTTCCGGGTTCACTGTCTGTGCGGGAGGGTGCCGAGGCTCGCGGTGAATCTCGGGCTTGAACACAGAAACCAACCCTGAGACGCAAAACCCGCATGCCACGACTTGTTGATGTCGGAGGGTTGCGAGACAAACTCAAATCTCTATGATTATGTCCAGCTGCCAGAGAATTCGGATCCTCCCACTACCACGATCCAACTCTAACAGCTGAAAGTCCAAACCATAAAGCTAAAGCAACCCAACCGTCCGAACAAAGCCCCTCAACACAGTTACGTGCACCGAAATTAAAATCCCGGCCCCAAACCGCTAACCCCAAACCTCAAAGCCCTCAAGCCTCAACCATTGGAATGGAACCCATGCAGAACCTCTGAACCCCTGAAACCCCAAAGCTCTAAACCCCGAAACCCTGAAGTCCTGAAAACCTGAAGTCCCCAAAGCCCAGAGGCCTCCTCCTGGTGCATTGAACACGCGAGACCGAAGTCGGCGAGCTTGGCAACGCCCTCCTCGGCTTGGGGTCTAAGGGGGCCCTTCGGGGGCTCAGGGTTCCTTGGCCCCTTAAAGGGGCTTAAGGCTCTGAGGTTGGGGCCTCAGGGGTTTAGGGGGGTCAGGGTTGTTTGGCTAGGGTGTTAAGGAGTTACGGGGTAAGGGGTAGGGCTTCAGGGTTTCGGGCTCTCGGGTTTTTGGGATTTAAAGGGCTACGGGTTGGAGTTTGTTTCTCATCCTCTGCTCTTGGCGGGTTTTGCGTGTAAGGTCGGGGGCCCTTAGAATTTAGAATAGGGTTCTTCGATCTACTATATAGGGCTCCCATATTGCGTATTTAAAGTTCCCGTCCCTCGTCTCGCTGCGGGTGTATGCATATGTATATGCATATGTGAGTTGTTTATGTACATATATATATATTTTTTTTTCGGGCATTCAGAGGTCGATGCGCGGCTTAATTAGCTTGCAAAATTGTCCCCACAACCGATGTAGGGCTTGGAGAGTCGATGTGCCCAGAACGAATCAGGTGCCTGTACGTGGGGGCGTTTCCCTCTTAGGATCTCTTCCCATGCTACCTGAAGCGGTCTGGGCACTAAACTCCAACAGTCTACCACGGTCGCGTGTTCCGGCAACTCACTAGATCGACGCCCACGACTTCCCAGTCGTCGTCCAGGATTACAGAGGTGCCATCATGGGTGCCGTAGCTGCTCTCCGGGAGGAGGTCCTTCCACTCAAGGTTGGCGAGCATCGTCTCAAAGGATCTCAGGGTTTCCAGTGGCTGGTGACCTTCTTGCTCGCCAGCCCCTCCACTCCACAATTCTGGGGTGAACGCCTGAAGTGCATTCCGGAGGCTGGATACCCCGTCCACCGGCCAGCAGTCGTTGAGGTCGTTGTCGCACATGGTGACAATGTCCGCCTCCACCGTATCCAGGATCACCATGGCCTCCTCATAGTACAGGGGGTAGCCGTCCAAGACACGCAGTATGCGGTCACGGTATGCAGCCATATCAACACTGGCCTCTTTGACGAGCAGGCTGTCACAGACCGCCACATAGGCACTGCGAACCTCGATTGGCCATTTGGCTTCACCAGTGTAGTCCTTTTCCGCTGCCTCACGCCATGCCCTGCTTCCCAGCCCGGGCTTGAAGGGTTCAGCGGCAGGTTCGATGGTAGACAGCACCGCAACACATCTCGGGGTATCCCGGAGGTGCACCATGAGCTTGGTGCGGGACCTGTAGTCACGGTTGCAGGCTTTGCATACCGTCCCGCCCCCGTACTTTCGGTAGGCTGCCTTTCGTCCATGGGCTTTGAAGAAGTGTGCCCCTAGTGCCGCCTTGGTCTTCACAGCCTTCGCACACATCCTGCAGATCCAGGGGAGGGTTGCACCTGCTTTCCTCGGGTACTGTCGGCAAGCTTGTCGGTATAGTCCCCACAAAGCCAAGCTAGTGATGAAGCCGATGGATGGACTGAGGTGCAGCGGCGCAAGCAGGGCTCCTGGACTTTGCGGCCGCAGGATTGGAGTGACCCTGTGCTTGACTACAACACCCTGGTGGCAAAGGCCTCTGGCGACGACGAGGTGGTCCGGGCCGTTGCCCTGGTCGACGAAAGCCAGCGGGATACTTTGCTTGCACTTTTCCGGGGCAGCCAGAAGCAGCATTCGCTGCTCCTTGTGGACCCGGCTGGTGAGGGCCCTGATCTGGAACCGTGTCCGGGAGCCGTTGGGTCCAAGCTTGTGTTCAAGAATGTGAAGTTCACTCGTGGCGGCACGCCTGGCTTGACCTCCCCTGGCCCTAGAGCTAAGGCGCCTGGTACGAAGATTGCCGTGGTCGCCAATTCGGTTGTCTACGTCAGGTTCCTGCAGCGATACATGGACAAGGAGGCGTGGGCCCAGGCTGCAAAACAGCCTCAGCGATGCTTCTTGGAGACCATCGCCAGGCACCGCTTGAAGGTGCTTGATAGCTGGGGCTGGGTTCTGGAGCCCACCCAGGTTGGCACTTCCCAAGTCTTTGGCAAGTGTCGCCTGGCCGAGCAGGATGTGCAGACCTTGTTGGCTGTGAGTGGGCAGGGCGGCGTCTTCTTTGAGCCTTGCAAGAGCTACAGCATGCCTGCGACGAATGTGGAATGGTGCACCCAGGATGAGCAGGAGACCCCGATCGCCTACTTGAAGCGCTGCCTCACAGTGGGAGCCGACTTTGGGCTCACTGCGGGCTGCAGGCAACTTGGCAAGCGGGTGCGGTGCTTGCCTGGCACCCCGCTTCAGCGTGTGTGGCTGATACAGGCGGTCCCTGGAACCATCACCGTCGAGCAGGTCACCGAGATCTTGGGTGGCCACTTCACCGAGGTCGAGCTGCTCTATCAGAAGCGCAAGGGCATTCATAAAGACTTTACGTTCCGAGCCAAGAGCAGTGATGCCAGCGACAGTTTAGCCATTCCGCTCGAGTTTGGCGATGAGAGCCTTGTGCTTTGGGCCCGGCATGCCCCTCCGAAGCGTGGCACCGGACCGGTTCAGACGATCCAGACCAGTGGCTCCTGGAGTTTGCAGGCTCCTCGCGGCAAATGGTCCACGGAGAACGTGACGGTGGAGTTGGACAGCGAGAAGGGCGGTGAGGCCGAGGTCCAGACCGCCAACGCCGAGGGCACCGGCAACGATGCCGCCATGCGGCCGCCGACGGCTGATGGAGAGGAAGGTACCACTGCCGCGGCCGATGCTGAGAATAAGCCCGCTCGTGGCTCCAAGGCGGCCGGCAAGGATCACAAGCGCGGCGGTGAGGCGGCTGGCCCAGCAGCCAAGCGTGTCATCAATGTTCAGCGTCGTTTGCCGGAAGGTGCCACTGTGACCAAGATTGCCAAGGATGGAAATTGTCTGTTCTCGGCCATCGCGATGGGGGTCCACAAGCTGAACCCAGCCATCCCCCAGGTCTCTGCTGCGGAGGCTCGGGCAAAGATCGCCGTGCACCTGCGGCGCAATGCGGACCGCTATGAGCGGGACTGGGACCGGGAATTGCCCAACAAGGCCCAGGCCAAAGATTGGGAGGAGTATGTGAAGGCCATCGAGGTCGATGCTGTTTGGGGTGGATTGACCGAGATCCGTGCGGCATGTCGCATATGGGACATTAGATGTATCGTTTTCCCCACGTGTGAAACGATCGAGCCCTTTCATGTCCATGGACAAGCGAAAAAGCGAGTGGTGGCGCTCCAATTCTCAGGCAGCCACTATGACCTCATAGAAGGAGACAATGGATCCTTACCCAAGGCTCTGCTGAGTGTGCGGGGTGCTCCTGAGGCCGTTCCCATGCGCGGTGGCGGCCGCGATCCTGATGGAGCCTCTGTGGATGGGGCCGCTTCTGTGTGGACTACTGCGTCGGCGCTTTCCTCGGTGACTTCCAGGCGGGCGGCTTCGGCGACCTCCAAGCGGGCGGCCACGGTGGCCTCGACTACTTCGGCGACTCCCAAGCGGGCGTCTTCGGCGACTTCACGGCGGGCCGCCTCAGCGGCTTTCGCAGAAGTGGTCAAAGTCCTCCTTGGCCTTCTTCGCGATCCGTCGCTTGACCGCAGCGGTGGATCCGGTCAAGAGGTGGTGCCACGCCGGCCATTGTTGAGGGGATGTGCCAGGCCACTCTCCACTGCCGCCTCGGAGCCACTCCAGATCCTCACGGACTGTTTCAGTCCAGCTCCTCTCATGTTGCAGTACTGCCCAAAGGGCCGGTGGGGCAGTTCTGCACAGGGAGATCAGGAGACCCAGTCTGGCACGTCGAGCATGAAGGGCCAGGTCCGGGGTCTTAGTCATGATATGGACCAGTGGGGCTGCCAGTTTGTGGTACTCCTCACCCTTGTAGGTTTTGGCTAGGAGGCCTTTGAGGATCCTGGTGAAGCCGCCTTCGAGGAGGTCCCATGCCTTGCCTTGAGGGATCCAGAGGGCAAGGTTGAAACAAGTAGTCGTAATGGACATACGGAAGAGGGAAGCCCGTGTCCCAATTGGGATGGTGGTGTTGCAGTAGAGCAGGTTCCGGCCAGCATCGAAAGCCTTCTGGCCTCCGCCACCATTTTGACCTCAGGCTCGATCACCCCACCCAGATGGACATATGACGGGGCAATCTGCACCTCCAGCTCCATTTCGGGCAGCCTCAGGACGTTGCGGCCATCGGTAAACTCCTCCTTCCTGGCCCGGTGCGCACCCCTTCCTCGTAGGGCCAAGATGATTGCGGTTTTCTTGGGCTTCAAGTTGGGAGACATGCCATGGGCCAGGGCGAACTCAATCAGTAGCTCGCATGCTCGCCTCGCCTTGGCGAGCAGCCTCCATGGATCCGGGTCGCTCACTGGTAGTGAGCAGTCATCGGCCCATACACTGTCCCGGGTCTCTACATCCATGCCATCCTGGGGTCCCCCCAGGGGCCGTTTTCGATGTTGACCGAGAGGGTCGTAAGGAGATCCTCAGCAGCTGCATGTTCACGGAGTGTGGTGAGTAGGCGGCCCAACACAAAGGCATAGATGATGTCCGCCCAGCTGGATCCTGGGCGGGATCCAGCACTTGTGACATTGACCTCGTCACAGCCTCCATGCCGCGTGATAAACCATGATCGATGGAGCATGTCCTTGGCCTGATGTCGTAGGGCTGGTGGGAGCCCAGCCTCAGCCAGCATACCTCCACGTTTGATGGTGTGGTAGAGGTCAGCAACATCTTCCGACGGTAAGCCGAAAGTCTTGAAAATTTTGGCTACCGCTTCATCGCTCTCAATGGCAATGTCCCCAACCGCCAATTCTCTAACAACCTTATAGTAGGCACTCTGGAAGTCAACAAAGAGGATGGCGACGCTGTAGTTGACTCGCTTGGTCCATCTGAGGAAGGCCTGGATGTACATGGCGGGTAGCAGTACTGGAGCTTGTCTGCGGGCCCCCATATGGAAGCTGTGCAGCCCCTCATCAATGCATTGTCCAGCTCGGTCGCGGAGCAGGCGGTGCACACACTTGGCCGGGAGGGAAGATATGTACAGCGACCTATAGTTCTCAACACTCTCTTTCGGGCCTGAGCGCTTCCAGCATTCTTGGAGCACTCCTCCTCGCCAGTGAAGGGGTTGGCACATGCGCAACGTACTCTTGGTCGTCAACGCATAAAGTGCCCTGGCAGTTGCCGGGGGACTTGCCAGGAGAAATTCCCCCGGAATCCCATCCAGACCAACGGCTTTCTTTCTCGGCGCACGCCGGAGTGCGTTCTCCAGCTCAATGATGGTCGGGACATCCGGCAATCGCGATGGTGGTGGAGTCACCCTCCAGAAGCTCCTTGGTGGGGACGGTTTGGCCACACTCCTGCCGCCCAAAGTGTTCCATCCACACCTTGTCTTTTTTGGCACCCGTGGCGCCTGTGGAGTCCTTGAGGGCAGGCATAGGCCGCCACGGTGTCCTTGCTGTGCGTCCACCCAGTCCCGCTTTCTTGGCCGCGCCGACGACATCCTTGAAGGCCGTGCCAGCTGTCACCGCAAGGTTGCGAAGGTAGTTGGCCTTGTCCTTGCGGATGCCGTTCTTGATGCGGGACGTAGCAAATTGAATCGCCGCGGCCACCAGTTCATAAAGTAGCGCATGCTTCTCAATCAGGTAGCAAACCGCGTGGTCCACCCCGGTAGCCCACTGCAGGAAGGCTCGGTCTGCCAAGTCCTGCCAAATGCCCCTTCGATGTCGGGTGCTCCTCTTGAAGCCAAGTTTGGCCTGACGTAAGCACCATACCCCCTCCGAGATGTAATCGGCTCTCTTGTCCTCAGCATTCAGCGCAAACTTGTCATGGAGGATGCCATGCACGTACTTTCGGAAGTGCTCGTAGTGGTCAGTGGGGTGCACCTCCCACCGGGGGGGAACGGCCTCTTCGACAGCTTTCCGGCCTTCATCTGTCAGAATCTTCTCGACATCATACTTGGGCTTCCAAACTTGGGACCTTTGTGGTGGGCCATCCAGCACACCACTGAAATCCACCATCACGGCCTCATGGTCTACACTGGGCGCTAAGGTGTCGAAGGAGTCCAGCACTTGACTGGCCACCTCCGTCAGCACAGCCACCCCACCAAGGACCAGGTAATCGATGCGGTGTCCCATCTTATCCTCACCGCCAGGCTGGTGAAATGTGGCGTCGGGTCCTTGATGCAGTTCATCATATGTGGATGGGAACCACAGATGGCAGCTTCGGGCCACTGACAACATCATTCCACCGATTCCATCAGGTTCGCCACATCTCCGGCTACCAGTGATCCCCGGCACCTCAAGCGGGATGCGGCCGTTTATATCCAGGCCCATAACAATGAGACTGGCCTTTGCCAGAAGCTTGATGCTCTGTCGAAGGTCCTCAAAGAAGACCTTTGCCTCGTCCATGCGTGCAGAGTGAGGGGCGTGGCCCGAAACGAGGACAAATGTGCGGCCCCCTACATCGACGGAGAGGATAAGGAGGCGAGGGGACTCGAAGATCACCTCTATATCATCCTCTGTCACAATCAGCGGTCGCCCCTCATAGGTGCAGAGGCCAAGCCGTTTGTTGATCCATATGTCCACACCCCAGTGTGAAAGGCCCTCCGTGGAGAGCCTCAGGAAAGACCTGCTTTCGCAGACCCCCGCTTTGCCCTTGGTCTCCTGGAGAAAGGCCAAGTGACAATGTTGTTCCAGCAGCTGGGTCTCGTAGAACTTGTGCTTGCCTTTCATGCTCTGCGCGTTCAACGAGACTGCCTTCAGCGCAAAGCCTGTTCCAGCTTCAGGTGGGAGTGCTCCTCCTTTCTGAGGTAGCTCCAGCATAGGTATCCCAACGGGGTGATCGGGAGGGTGTTCCACCTCTTAGCATGGCAGGACGTGGCCAGCCATGTCATGTCAAGCTCCCGGAAGGCCTTACACGTATCCCTTGGCGGGGCTGGTAGCTGTATCGATCCGGCCGCTACCTCTTTGGACAAGACGTCCACCAGCTCGTTGAAGGGATCACCCTGGGCCTTTACGTGGAGCGCCTCGATGGGGGCAGGGATCACCTCCTGTAGGTACATCTCGAGCAGTCGGCTCCTTTCACCCATCTCGTTGACAAGGTTCCAGGCTCCAGAAACCGCCATTCCTGCCGCTCGACAATCGTAGTGCAGCACATATCGGGCTGCCTCTATGAAAGCACGGCTTTGGAGGATCCAGATCAGTCCTGTGGCCATGGCAACCTGTTCGTTGTGGAGGGCGGAGTCGGCCCACCAAGTAGGGTCTGCACCACCATGCGTGCTCTCGCCCCACACGCCCATTAGTGCTCTTGTCCCAGCACACAACAGGACCACTGCCACGGCGTAGCCTCCAAGTTGGCTGTCCTCCGTCCAGGAGCCATCAGAATAAATGTGGATTTCCGCCTTTCGCGGATCGTAGCCATTCGACAACAGGTCGCTCCAGTGTCTCATGTCCGCAATCGCCTCCACCGTCTCGCTCTTGTATTTGGGCCCAGAGGGTAGTGGGCTCATCCACGTTGGATCCCATGGACGTCTCAGTCGCTCCAAACCTTGAGCCTCCTCCGGCAGCTGCACTCGTAGCAGTCCCAAGTCAAACGCAGGGGCCGGCAGGTGAGGCGCTAGCTGTATGGTCATGCGACATTCGGGGCTCTCATCGTGTCTCCTCCTGGGCGAACGGCTCCTTGGACGATTGACAGGTTGAGGAGGTGGTGGGCCGCGGGGCGGTCCATCATAGGGATCCTCGCCCGAGGGCTCCAAGTCACTTGAGTCAGGCAACGCATCCTCACCCTCGGAAGACTCATCATGGTCCGGGTCTGATGAATCATCTTCATTGTCATCGATGCTGCCAGCCTCGCCATCATCCCTCTCTTCCTTGGCCAGGTGGAAGACAAGGACCTCGCCCGGTTTTACCAAAATGGTCACTCCGTCGTCTTGAGGGTCGCCTCCTTGCACCATGACTGCCCAGCCTTCCAGGTCAGGCATGCCCAGGGTGTCGTAGTACTCAAGGGGGCGGAAAGCGTTGCCCTCGAGCTGGGTCCATTGTGGGAAGAGGCCCAGCCCTCGAAGGTCCGTAAAGATCACTGGCTCGTTGGGCCCGTGCTGTTCGACACCATCGAGTACCGCGATCTGTCCCCATACACGGCGACCTCGATGAGTGAGGGCCTCTATCCTTTCGTTGGGGGTGGCGATCCAGACGTCACCATGTTCATACCTGAGGGCCTCCTCTGCAGCAATCTCTAGAGGTCGCTCATCATCAGAGGCTATCTCCTCCAGTACCTGGTCGTCCGCCGACTGGTAGACCGTGTGGAGTCCTGCCACTGAGAAAGGAAGTGGTGCTTGAGGGTTCCACCTGCGCGGGTTGCCCAGCCGGATCTGAAGGTCATCCGCCCATCGGGGTTGGTGACCTCTTCTCATGATTTTTAGGAGGCCTCCTTGGATGGGGTTGTAAACAACATTGTTGCGCCAAGGTCGTTCATGACCATAGGCGAAAACTCCCATCCCCTCTGGCCATCCTTCCACAACTGTGGTCAGCACGTGCTGCCTGGTAACCGGCCGCTCCAAGTAGGCCGCAAAGACACCACCCCCAATATCAGTGGCGTCCACCACCTGGACGACTTTGTCCGTCTCACGTACCCACTTGGGCACGGCAACAAAGCTCGCGAAATGGTTATCCACCTGGGGGGCGGTAGGAAGGTACTCCTCCGCATAGTCAGGAAGCTGCTTGGTGGAGTCACGGACAGCCTCCTGCAGGCGGGCCACCGTCGACGGGAAGGGAAGCTCCAGGTCCACAACCTCCGGCTCATAGTATGGGGTGGCAACCCAGCAGGTAACATGGACACTGGCAATGTCGACCTCCGTGAAATCAAAGACAGGGTCCTCCGCCGGGATCTCGAAGGTCGGGTGTCTGGCTTGGCCAGTGCCGTGCTCGAGAGGCCTTGTCATTGCCCAAAGGGCCTCCGCCTGAGCAAGCTGCTCTCTGGGGGTCATCATGCCTGCTGCCCAAGTTTCCAAATCCGTCGGTCGAGGCACCCCCATAGGCATGCCCGGTCTGGCTCGTCGCTGTACAGCTGCAACTCCTGGCATCGTGGTAATGGCAGCCCATGCTAATCCAACTTTGATGAGGCCTGCTCCAGGGGGGCGACTTCTCGTCACCCTCCAGAGAAGCATGAGCTGGGAGAGGAGGCCAATGAGCAGTAAGGTCATGCCACTCCCGCGTGCAACCATGGTGATCATCGCCGCCTTCTCGACGAAATATTGGTTCCCAAAGTCGACTAGACATTCCAGCCAGTCAAGGATATCAAAGAAGCGGCGATTGCGGCGCCTCTCCCACGTGGGGCCCTTCTTCAGATGCCGAGTGCAGCCCACATCAACTGCACTCTCGCACTCCACAGGCCATGTGTCTCCTCTAACCCTTGGCACCAAGGTAGGGGCCTGGTTATTGTCCTCCGTGGCGTTGGTGTCCCCTGCTTCCAAGATGTTGGCAAGTAGATTCCAATCATCCTCAGGGGGCCCGACCTCTTCCCCTCGGGCCTCTGGATTCTCGAAGTCCGACAGGTGGGGGTCCTCCATGCAGACTAGTCTGCATCCCGCAGTATTGGTGCCGCCTCGGTCGTGGCCTCCCAAGGGGCCGTGCCGGGCTGTGGAAGATGCACCAATTGTCCAACCAGCAGCATCATCTCGAAGCTGCACGGTGTCATCAAAATCACGGGCGAAACAAATGGCCCTGTCATGCTGTCGGGCAGGCCAAGGGCCTCCACCCTCAAGTTCATAGTTGTAGGTGGTGAACATGCCGAAAAAGCCACCACCTCCGCAGTCCGGAAAGGACTGAGCCGTCTCTACTCGTCGCACGGATCCGCCGGCAGGTTCCCGAGGGTCGCCACCAAGTCGTCCTCGTCGTCCTCTGCCTCCTGCTCGGCCTCCACATCGATGACCGGCTCGGACTCCTTCATCATGGCCGCTGCCCGTTTCTCCGCCAACTTCTTGGCTAGGGACCCTGGCTTCACCGTCTTCACCGGGCCCCGCAGGTGTGTTTTGATGCCAAGCCGGGGGCCACTTGCATGTGACCTGGATCGTTGGCGTGTAGACGGCGGGGTCGTTCGCATCGTCGAAGGGGACACCTGGTAAGGGTCCCCGTGGTCGGCCCTATCGGCACTGCCGGCCCAGTGTCCCCTCTTCTTCTTGTGGTGTCGGTGGCCGGAGGGGACATCACTGCCACACGTGTGCCCCTGCTGGGCGGCGTGGTCGGGTCTTTGCTCCTGTGCAGGGCTTCTCGCTTGGCCGCAATGGCCTGCAGCATCTTCTGCCTCGCTGCCTTCCGGAGTTCGCCTTGTCCGTCCAGAGCTCCGTGCAGCAGGCCCGACAATCCCATATCGTCGTCCATGTCCTCCTCGGCAATCAACTTTGCCCAGGCTGCCTCGTCCTCCTGTGTGGTCTCCTCCTTGGCCGTCACTGTGGGCGCCACACCACCATTGAGTACGTCCTGCAGCTCGATGAGGGCTGTCTCCTGGGCCTTGAGGTTGTCCTCCTGCTCCGCCTTGTTTTTGCGGACAAGTTCCAAGTATTTGTTCCGCTCCTTGACGAACGTCTTTTTGAGCTTCACCTGGAACAACTTCCATTGCTCGGCAATGTACTCTCGGTCCTCTTCGTTGCGTCGCACTTTGGCTTCGGCCTTGCGGAGCTGGTTGATCAGACGCTGAGTTCCCTGGACCAGGTCCACTGTGGCGTTCGCCGCGGCCTTGTTCTTGGCGACTCGACCATCCGGGTCTCGCCTGTCCGCTCCAGCCACTGGCATTGCATCGAAGGTAGGGAAGCTCGGCTCGTCCTTGGAGCTTCTTGGGGCGTGCTTGTCCTTGGACTTGCCCGGCTGCTTTCCCTTCCAACCATCTTTTCCCCAGTTCCACATTGACCAGGAAGAAGAGGAGGATGACCATTTGCCATTGTAGTCTTCGGAGTCCTTCCAGTCCTGCCATTTTCCACGTCCCATCTGAGACTCTCTGTATCGAGGACGGGTATGGTGGCCCACCAAGAGCGCCAAGGCTCTAGCTGGTGGTCTCCGCGATTCAGCCCGAGCCGTGTGGATGGCCCTCCTCGCCTTGGAGCGGGCGGCCCTCGCTCGGCGATGCCACGCAGGTGATCGAGGAATCCTGCGGAAGCCAATGGCGTCGCCTAGGTCGTGCCTATCTGTCGGCACGTGGGGTTTGCCGGCTATAGCTGCAGGCCTTGCTGCAGCTTGTTCCGAAACCCTACATATATATATATATAACGGACATGAGCGGCTTTTTGAGGGGCTTGGGGTTCAGGAATCACGGCTCCGGACTGCGCCTTCGAGACCTACCGCTTCAGGGTCTTAAAGTCTTCGGGCTTCTCCTTTACGATGCCTGCAGGGACCTTCAGGCTAGTCCCGGGCGTAAGAGAACCCGCAAGGGCCTCGAAAACTTGAAGAAGGTACAATAGAGAACCTGAGGAATACTTTTGCTACATGTTCCTAGGCCGGTACAGCAACTTCGGAAGACTAGCCTGAAACCTTCTCAGCCTGAAAGCAAAATCGCTAAACCCTGATTCCCTCCCCTAAACGTCGACATGCATCCCCGCACCCTAACCACTATATAAAACCCTGGGAAACCCTTTCGACAACACCAAAAATACCGACACAACCTGGCAAAACCGCATGCAACCCATGCATAACCGTATTCTGACCCCCGCTACCCTAAACCCCTCAAACCACTATAGGAAGCCTTGAGCTACAAAAACAAGCAACATTCGCCCCCGAACCCGATGCTGCCTGGTGGGAACTCGATGCCTCGGTTACCTCACGAGCTTTGAAGGGTCTAGCCTTTTGGGGTGTAGGCCTGGGGGCCGGGGGTAGGGCTTTACGGTTTGGGGCTTAGGGTTGGGGGTCAGGGTTCGGTGGGTGTGTAGGGTTCAGGTTGGTTTCTATGGGGGGGGCTTGATCGGTGTTCATTTGAGAGGTCTTGTTTGGTGGGTCGTGTTAAGGGTTGGAAGGCCTGTTGGGAGTTTGGGGTTGTGAGTTTAAGATTCCTTCAAGGCTTGTGTCCGGAAGGCCTCTTATAACCTAAACACCAAGCCCTTAGCCCTAAACTCCAAACCCGAAACAGCGAACCCTAAATACATTTCCCTCCACCCTAAGCCCAAAGGCCTTACTTATACCCTTAACCCTACGACTTAAATCCTTAAACCCTTAACTCCTAGATAAATATTTCCCTAAGCGAGGTCCTGGACTAACCCAGCCATGGTGCAAGGACGTTCTCCGGCTTGAGGTCACGGAAAACGATCTCCTTGAGCTCTAAACCATAAGCTTGCTAGAAGGGTTCGGCTGGGGGTGCCATAAGGTCTCCATTATAAAGGCTCCATGAGGGTTCTGTACAGGTTACTATGAAGCTTAGCAGTAAGGTTACTGTTGAGGCTACGGTAAGCTTAGTATAATAAAGATTACTTGATGAAGACCAAGACTCTGGACCTTACGCCCAATGACCTAAACCCAACACCCGAAAGATCTAAATACCCCTACACCCCTGAAACCCATAACTCATACAAGCTGCAGCCTGAATCCAATCCCAATCTCGTATTTAGGACCTGAGGCTTCGGGGCCTCGGCGCCGTGTTGATTGCCTAGAATGGCCTCATGGAACGGATATAGTTCGCTGCTTGCGAAAGCCTCTGATAATTTTCCTACTCAGAATTCTGAGAATGATGATGATGATGCTGATGATGATGATGCTCATCATAACACAAAACAGTACGGATATACCGAAAGTGAGCCTAAATATAGGGGTCTTCGCGACAACAATATCGAGAACACTCGCCATACTACAGATAAGTAGGGTACTAGATACTAGTGGCAGAAGGGGCCTAGAGGTAAGACTGGATTTGCTTTGCTGCAGGTTAAAGCCCAAACAGGGCTCATGTACGGGGCCCCTAGAACATGTAGGTTTGCTGGGTTACAGGTGGGGTTTAAGGTTTAGGCTTTCATAGAAAGGACAAACAGCCACCGCAAAGTCCTGACCATGGAGGTACTCGAGGGCCAAGACAATGCATGCTGTATACCTGAGTGCAGCCACGCCGTTTCAGGTCGAGTACCACGGGCATGAAGCAGCAACGCGAGCTCCTGCTCATGATTCCAAACTCATCTCGAGAACATGAAATGTATCTTCCTTACAAGAAATGGTAGTTACAACAAATACATTAACCTGCTTCTGCACATCCTGAGAAATATTTAGAAAAAGAAAACGACAGGGCACAGCGATGCTGCGACGAATCCCCCGGCAGAAACAGACTCGGACTTGGGTCGTGGTAATGTCGAGCCAATACCCTGAAAGCCCAAAAATAAATCCCAAAACCGGCCCAAGACGCCTCAAACTCAAAACCGAAAACCCCAAACCCTAAACCCCTAAACCCCTAGCCCGCTAAACCCTCAATCCAAAACCAAAAACTTGGCCCCCGGCTTCGCCGCGGAGCTTGGGGCTAGGCCCTCGCGGCCGCTCCGCAGAATACGGTCCTGAGGGCTGGAAAGTGGATGTAGATGATTCTGCAAATTTTAGGGTGTCTTTGGGGCGGGGTCCTTGTTATAAGGGTGCCCTATTGCTTTGGAGGACTTAAAAGGGGACCTCATTTATTTCGACAACTACCCTTGTTCTTGACTATGATGACACTGCTGGTGGTGGTGGGTGGTGGCGGTGGGCGGTGGGCGGTGGCGGTGGCGGTGGTTAGGGGTGTGGCCGTGATCGTAGTGATTGTGGTGGCAGAAGGATAAGCAAAGCATAAGCAGAAATTGGGCTCAAGGCATGCACGATACCTAAAAACGGAACAACAGCAAAAACCCTCATCCAAGCCTATCGCCATAGATTCTCAGGCCTCAACTCCAAACCCACATTGCAAACCGCAACAGGGGCTTAGCTCCCGAACTTGGCCACACAAAGCCAGCAAGAGCCTCAACTTCCAACCCCAAAGCCTCTAAACACTCCAACACCCAAACAACCCTGAACCCCTGAACCCCTGCAACAACAAAAGACCTCACGTACAACAAGAAACCCCTAGAACCCCCAAAGCAAAAACAGCCAGAGAGAGAGAGTGGGAACAAAAATGAAACCCAAAAACACGAAACCCTGTTCTGCAGCGCTGCGTTGAGGTTTTCGGCACAGAGCTCCATGACCTGACAGGCCCAGCAAATGCAATTTTTATTGCGGGTTCCGTTCGTGGCTTCGGGCTTTTGCTTCAGGGTTAGGGCTTCGGGCTTAGGGGCTTTAGGGTTTCGGGCTTCAGGGGTGTAGGGCTTGGGGCCGAAGGCGCTACAGGGGGTCAAGGGGCTTAAAAGGTTTAGGGTTCAGGATTCAAGGATTCCTTGAGGGCTTGCTTTGACAGGTTCGTTTGGGGGTTCCTGTGAGGGATCACCAAGGGTGTCGTTAAAGAGGTTGCTTTGATGCTTTCAGGGTTCTTTTGCGACTTGCGGATTACTCTTGCCGTGTTAAGAGCTTGAGGTTGAGGGTTGGCGATGTCGAGTCGGCGCTTACCACCCTAAACCCTAGGGCTTGTGGATTGTTGGAGAACTTACATAGGGTTCAGCTTAGGGTTTAAAGCTCAGTAGAGTTTAGGGTTTAGGGTTTCAGGGTTTTGGGGTTTAGGGCATACGGCTTTGGGCTTGAGGCTTAACGATTCCGGGTTTCGGGTTTAGCGCTCGCAACTCTCACATGTTCTCTCGGTTGTCGACGACCGAACTACACTCTCAACCCTGAACCGGACCTTCCTCGATGAGCCAAGCCACGATGCAGTAATGGGCGCTCGTTTGGAAGATGTGGACCTTGGATGTTTCAGATAAGACTTAAGTATTCCTTCTGAGACGGCTCCTGCCTGCTAGCCCTACTTTCTGAGTCTAAACCCGGAAGCCAGAATTGTGAAGACCCTTGCCAAATCCATTCAGTGAGCCCTGAGCCCTCAACCTGAACTCCGACAATCCTACAAAAGGCCATCCAAAGCGCTGCTGCGAATCCTTGAATTCCACAGTGGAGGCACTTTAGGAAGCCCTGTTGCAGAGCTCATGAATAGAATACTATACATTCCTACATCCCTATACAATACATCCTTCATTATACATTATTATAATAGATGATGCTATATCATACTATATTATACTGAGTTATACTGTATATACGCTTTCACAAGATTATATTACTTTATTCCCTCCAGGTCCTAGACTCCCGGTCATCTACGAAGGCTCACGGCCCGCGAGATCATACCATCTTCCTGCGAGGACATCACGAGAGCCTCGAAACCCTGCCAGACCCGATCCGCAACTCAAAAAGAACAAAGGCCAAGGATTTGGGGCTCAAGGGTTAGATTCTTTAGATCGTCTGCCCGAATATCGAAAGCAAAAGGCCATGAGCGGTCAAAACACAAGGACAAGCGCAAGGCTTCTTGTAAGCCAAGAACTCTACACCCCCGAATATGCGCATCTTGGAGTCCTAAACCTGAATCCTGGGGTTGGGGTTTTTCAGGTTTGGGGTGGGGGGGGTCCTCAAACAGAGAAAGGCGAGAAGCCAGGCCCACGATGAAGGCGTGGTCCGATGCGTGCAGCGCCTTGTCTTCAGATGGAACCGGGTTGGGCTCGTCTGGTTCGTGGTTGGGGGCTGTTACTGTCCCTTGCTAGTCTTATCCCGCACTGGGGTTCCTTGTGAAACCCTATCAAGCCATAAATCAGCCTGCAACCTTCCTTTTCCCTTCTCCCCATATTTATGTAAACCCTGAAATACATCCAAGCCCTAAGCCCTTGAACTATAGTCTAAGTTCTGAACCTGGAACCCGGATACTACACCCCAAACCCGCAAGCCTAAAGCCTACACCCTAAACCCCAGTCCCTGAACACTAAAATAATACTCTTCACCGTGAGCCCTCAAAGCACACCGTAGACGCGCAACCCTCAACCCTGAACCCTGTAATACAGGAGCCGCATCCCATTATAGCCCCAACACAATGGTCGTGGAACAAAGAGCCAAACCCTATTCTTAAGGCCCCTACAACCCTCCCGGCCCGGCCCGGCCTGTGCCTCCCTCACAGCGTATTTCGTGGCTCGGTCCTGTTCGTGTTCAGGATCTTCGGGTTTGGGAACGGGCCAGGGGCCGAGGCGCACGGTGCACGGTGCATGGGTTTGCTTTGGGCCTTCTTCGGTCCGAAACCCTAAGCCCAGACTAGACGGCCGCTCTGCAGTGAAAGGAGCAACTGCAACCTTGCGATTTTCGAGACCACGCAGCACCCTCAACCTTAGGCTCCAAAACCCTCAACCCTAAACCCGTGGACCCATGAACCTTCACTTTGGGCTTGAGGGTTGGCCTCTCGGGCTTGTGAGCTGGTCTCTAGCACTCAGGGGCCCCAAAGTGATGTGATAAGACCCTTTTTCCATTCCCAGCGATCTACGAAAGCCCCCCATGATGGCGGAAAACTTGGGACGGAACAGCTGGGTCTCAGAAACCCAAAACCCTTAACCCTAAGTATCCCTCAACCCTAGAGCCTGGGTTCTAGGGTCTGCGGCCATAAATCAATTTGAACCTGCTTTGCTTTGGGGTGTGGTTTTGGAAAGCTTAGGGCTCAAGAGACCAGCGGCTTTTCAATAAGCTTCACCAGCTTCAGCGCGAGAGAGCCCTGAAACCGATGCCCAGGTTTAGAGATGATGACGACCAGGCCGGCTCTTGTTTCAACCGCGGTGATCCTCCTTCTTACCTCCCGCAATCCCACGTCTCTGCATCCTGCACCCGAAACACCCAATGGCTAAACCCATGAATCTGCAGACAAAGCCCAAGATTTCTCGACTGAAGCCCTCAACAAACTTCTTCACCCCAAACCACCCCTTAAATCCTAAACAAAACCCAAACCTCCAAACCCTACACCCCGAGCCCCGAAATCCTAAACCCGAAGCCTCAAACCCCACCCCCCGCACCCCCACCCCCCATCCCCCCATTCGCCCGTGACCTGGCCTTGGCCTGGAGTTTCATGGCGTAGAACTTCTGCCTGGGTGCTCCAGTGTCCCTTAACAATAAGGGTATCCTTCTTCCTGGGACTTAGTTTTAATGAGGCAACCCTAAAGTATAAAAGGGCAAAAAGATACTAACCCCCCGTAGATCCAACCCTGACAAAAGGGCAACAAGGAACTATAGTGGGCTTCTACTATACTTCTTAGAAGGAGCCCCGAAAATTTCACAGGTAGTTATTCAGGCCATATTTCTTACTACTAAAATCCGAGTGGCGTCCGCTTGTCAACGACTTTGATGACCGAGCCGAAACCTGGCTCTTGAAACCCCCTTTTTTGTGGAGGCTTTCGGGCTTTTGGTTTAGGGCTTGATGCTGAGATCTGCCGCAGCTGAAGCTCATGATGTGTTCTGGCGGGCTTATGCCGGAACCTGCCGGAACTGATGTTCATGATGCTCGCCGTTTCGGGGCTCATGAAGGAACGTGCGGCAACTGATACTCACAATGCTTGCCGGTTTGGGTTTGTGCTGGAATGTGTCGCACTTGATGCTCATGATGCTCCCCGTTTTGGGTCTCATGATGCAGCGTGCGGCAGCTGATGCTCATGATGCTGGCTTGTTTGGGTTTGTGCTGGACCGTGCCGCAGTTGATGCTCATGATGCTCTCTATTTTGGGGGCTCCTAATGCAACGAGCGGGAGCTGATGCCCCTGATGCTGCTGGCCTGGGCGCTGTGGGTTTGCGCTGCAACGTGCCGCAGCTGATGCTCATGATGCTCGCTGTTTTGGGGCTCATGATGGAACACGCGGCAGCTGATGCTCACAATGTTTGCTGGTTTGGGTTTGTGCTGGAACGACTCGCAGTTGATGCTTATGATGCTCGCTGTCCTGGTTCTTATGAACCTGCGGCAGCTGATGCTGACGATGCTTGCTGGTTTGGGTTTGTGCCGGGAAGTGCAGTTGATGCTCATCTGATTGGGGCGCATGATGGAGCATGCGCCAGCTGATGCTCATGATGCTTGCTGGTCTGGGTTTGGGCTGGAGTGTGCCGCAGTTCATTCTCATGAAGCTCGCTGTTTTGGAGCGGCAACTGATGTTCAAGATGCTCACTGTTCTGGGCCTCATGATGGAACGCGTGGCAGCTGATGCTCATGATGCTTGCTGGTTCCGGCTTGTGCAGATGATGCTCATGATGCTCGCTGTTTCGGGGCTCATGATGGAACGTGCCGCAGCTGATGCTGATGATGCTTGCTGGTTCTTGTGCAAATGATGCTCATGATGCTCGCTGTTTCGGGGCTCATGATGCAACGTGCGCCGGCTGATGCTCATGATGCTTGCTGACGCGGGTTTGCGCTCGACCGCGCCGCAGTTGATGCTCATGATGCTCGCTATTCTGGGGGCTCCTGATAGAACGTGCGGCGGCTGATGCGAGTGATGCTTGCTGGTTTGGCCTTGCCCTGCAACGTGCCGAAGATGATGTTCATGATGCTTGCCGTTATGATGGAACGTGCGGCAGCTGATGCTCCTGATGCTCGCTGTTTTGAAGCTCATGATGGAACGTGCGGCAGCTGATTCTCACGATGTTTGCTGGCTTGAGTTTGTGCTGCAACGTGCCGCAATTGATGCATGACGCATACTGTTTTTGGGCCGCATAATGGAACGAGTTGCAGCCCACGTGCCGCTGTTGATGCTCATGATGCTCGCTGTTTTGTGGCTCTTCATGGAACGTGCGGCAGCTGATGCTCATGATGCTCGCTGCTTTGGTGCTCTTCATGGAACGTGCGGCAGCTGATGCTCATGATGCTCGCTGTTTTGGTGCTCTTCATGGAACGTGCGGCAGCTGATGCTCATGATGATCGCTGTTTTGGTGCTCATGATGGATCTTGCAGCAGCTGATCCTCATGATGCTTGCTTGCTTGGGCTTCTACTCGAACGTGTTGCACTTGATGCTCATGATGCTCGCTGTTCTTTTCGGGCTCAAAGCGCAGCAGATTTCGGTTTTGGTGTGAAAGTTGGTTGAAGTTGTTGGATTTACGACTTTGGGTTGGGATCCGGGTTTTAATATGCTTTCTATGGGGGTCGCAGATGGTCGTAGTCTGGTGGTATGGATCCTTAATGGGTCACTCTCAACGTTCTTCGGTATGGACCGACATGGCTCGGGATGCAACGGTAATCGCACAAAGTTTCATTGCATTTCCACGTAAGACCACAAGGCTTCAATATCGTTCCAAACTGCCTTCGTCATTTCTCGGGCTCTGTGCGGAATTTCTTCGATTTTGCTTTGGGTGCGCTTTTCATGATGCACATCACAGCTACATCCACCCCTGAAGCTCTGGCTGGCAAACCCAAGTCCTCATACCCCGACCCCAGCCTTGCATCTCAAACCCTTTCGAGGTTTCTTAGCCTGAAGCGCCTGAAGCCGGTTAACCCAATGGCAACGAGAGAGGAGGCTGTAACATTGCCAAGTCGCCACCAGCACCTAACGCACGAACCTCGGGTTCGGGTGTGTCAAAAAGCTTGTGGGCCTGAAAACCATCAACAAGTGCGAGATGCAAGAATGCAGACATATTCCTGTTTGTACATGCTATACAACTTCTTGGCTTGTTCGGCTACGGTGCCTGACCTCCTCGTCATTCTAAACAAGTCATACGGTCATTGCCACTCATAAGCCCGCATACACCCCTAAAAACTGACACCCTTTCAGGCCTCAGTTGCACTCGCCCCGGCCTAGGGCCCCCCAACTTTCGCCCTCTGAGCGTTGACTAAACCCCAAACCCTAAACGGTGTTTGAGCTTCAAGGCATGGTGCTTGACCTTCAACCCGACATCCCAAGACCGCTGGAACCTAAACGTTTAGGGCTTCGGGGAGGGAGGGACACCCCAACTTGTGGAGGCCTTGCAGAGCCTGGCTTGACATCCTGCAAAGGAGCCCTACAATCAACCCTCCTTGAAAAACCCACATTTTGTTTTTCGGAGGCTTTGAGGCCTGCATGGGTCAACCCCAGAATCCTTAATCTGAGGACCTCCAGCAGCTGCGGACCAAGTTGCCGGCTTCAGGGACATGATGTGGAATCCATCCTCATGCTGCAGGCGACAGGGAGTTGTGGTTTTAGCTGCAGTGGCGTTGGAGGTTTGGGTCTTAAGCTTGCAGAGCTACAACGTCTACATGCGGTGTTCAGGTTTGGGGTTCACGATTTGGGTTCAAGGCTTCAAGGTTTTGAGGTCAAAGGGCCACTGACATGCTTTAGGGTGCTCATAGCCCTCGGACGCAGAAGCTCATCTCACGCCGTATGAAGTGATGGGTTTCGGGTTAAAATTTTGGGGTTTAGGGTTGAGCATTCAAGGTTCAGGCTTTAGTGTTTAGGGTTTCGGGTGCCATGAGCCTCCAAACCCAGTCAGGCTGGCCTGCTCCTGTCGCAGTCCATCCAGAACCCGTGCCAGCTGGTCACCCACCTTGGATATGAGGACTTCAGGCTTTGGGGTTTTGGGGTCCAGGACATTGGGTTTGGAGTTCAGGATTTTGTGTTGAGCTGGCTGTTGAGGTCTCCGCCTGGCTGCTGTGATTGTGGAATTGCTTTTGGAAGGATGTACCTGGAACCGGAGTTTTTGGAACCCCTTACAGATCCTGCAAAGCTTCCCCCCAAAAAAAACCTTGTAGGTTCTCGTTTCGTGACCTTTACCGCAGTTCGCAAAGGCCGGCCTCCCGAGCCTCCACGCGAAGCAAAGCGTCACCAGGAACCGATCACCGCAATTCGGCTACTTTAGGCCTTTTAGGTTTTGGGTGTAGGGTTTAGGGATGTGTAGGGTTATGATTCGATTGGAACTCGGCTCAGGGCCAGAGGAGGGAGAGAGAGAGAGAGAGAGAGAGAGAGAGAGAGAGAGAGAGAGAGAGAGAGAGAGAGAGAGAGAGAGAGAGAGCGAGAGATGAGACAAGCGACGAAGTCAAGGAGGATAGAAATCCCAAGCAGACGTGTAGTGTGCCGTGTACATGTAGGTGCCTCTTTGCTGTAGTAAGCACCCTATATGCGCTCCTACTCGAGGAGGATCCATAACGATTCCCTCTAGGATCCCTTCAACTGCCGCATGCTGTGCACAAGCGCCATTGTCCTGTTCTTGCCGTGGGTGCTTCCAGCCCTCCATGAAACAAGACGAAAGCCATCAACCGTAGAGCCCAAATCATGCACCACAACCCTAAACACCAAGACCCCCAAAAACGTCCAGCCCGAAACTGAATCTCTACATCCTCAAACGACGAGCTGCGGAGCGTGAGAAGAGGAAGGACACCAGGCCGGTGTGCCTCCCTGGGTTGCAGCTTAGGGTTTGGCGCTTAGGATGTAGGGTTCAGTGTTGACAGTTTCGGCTTCCATATTTCGGATTTAGGGTTCAGTTTTGTGCTGGTGGTCCGGTACTAAGGGCTCAAAATCTAACTGGAGCCCAGCCTAGATGGGCCTCGGCATTCATGGCATTTTGGAAGCTCCTGCGGGTTCACTGCTTCGGGTCCACACCATGAAACCGAAACCCCAGAATCAAGCAGAAACACAGGCCCCACAAGAACCTGTAGCTACGCTGAAACGCCGCTAGGCCTTTCTCCACGTCTGCCGGCATCTTCGAGTACTCGTGGCGGTCCTGCCCGAGAAGTTTTTACCCTACACCCTAAACCCTGTCTCCCTCTCGGCAGATCCTACACCCAAAATCCATTTGCCCGCAAGCCGCAGAACCCAAATTCGTTGCATGTGTACCCCTAAACTAAGCCATGGTTGGGCATGGGCACCAAACCCTAAACCCCTAAACCCTGAACCCCTGAACTCTAAAGCCTTACGTTCTTTCTTCCAGCTTCCAAGGCTTCAAGCAGCTTCATGCGAATTCGGGCTTTTTGAAAAGGGTTTAGGGCTGGATTCAGAGCTACAGGTTTGGAGTCAAGATTTAAAATTCTGGTTTTGCTTGGGAAAATGGAAGCGTTAAGGGGTGTTCCAAACTTTCAGTCGCGATAAACCCTCAATCCTGAAGAAAACCTTGCTTACCCTGAAGCCCAAAGCACTTCCGCGCTCAATCTCAAAATCCTCGGTCTGGAACCTACTCCCAAAACACCGAAGATCTACGTCTTAAGGTTGCTCAGGAACCTTTGAACAGCCCTGGACGCTGATCCCCAAACCCCAGGCTCTAGATCCTGAAGCCTTTGAGTGAAGACGCCATCCCAAAGCCTCCAAGCCCAATGCTCCTGGTGCGAAGAATCCTCTAACCTTAACAGCCTCGACCCCCATTGGCTGTCCCATTCCAAGCCGAAGAGGGTGGCCAGCTCCTCTGCGTCACACCTGCGTTGAGCTCTTATGGAGGCTTCAGAGGGCTTTCGCTAGGCTTTGCAAGGACTTCAGGGTCCTTGTACGACGAATGCGCGACAGGAGTCTACTATGATAAGGAAGCCGAAGAAGACACAATCTCAAAGCTATCTGCATGGACTTCGGGCATCTTCCAGTGGCGTATGCGGCCAACTTCAGGCTTCCAAATGGCTGTGCAGGAGGATGGAGGATCCACCGAATTTCCGAGAAGTGTCACAAAGGCGTGCCCTGGGTTTGGCAGCTTCCTCCAGGAATTGCGGGCTTTGGAGGATCAGGGCCTTCGGTCTACGTTCGGGTTCTGCGTGGCATCATGGTATGGAGCTGCCGGGAACTCCAAGGAACAAGGAAGAGCTCCGACCAACGAAACTCTTAGTGACAGGGGAGGTTCATGCACTGTCCCCAAAACGGAGCACACAGACATGACGCAGAGATCCTTCTTGGAGCGATCTTCTTGTAACCCCGAAACTGCAAATCCTAATCCCTAAACCCGAAATTCCGAACAAACCCTAAACCCTAAACCACCACGCCTGTTCACCAATGGCTTCAACTGGCCTCAGTTATGGCTGCTACAGGCGGAATCGTCGACTTCGCCACACAAAGAATCAGGGTCAGCTCCCCAAGCTTTCGCGTACCTAGAACCCTGGACCCTAAACCCGTCCGGAGCCTCCAAAGCCAAGCCGAGATGCAAAGAACAGCAATGTAGGAGCTTCAATCGGTAGAAAAGTGGCTTCAGGTTTAGAGGTTAGGGATTTAGGAGCCTCAAGTTGTAGGTTATGCTAGACCTATACAATGAAGAATGCTGACGAGTCGTATTGGTCAGACCCTCACATTAGGCCCCGCAGCCTGACTCCTGTGTATAGGAGAATGAAGACATAGAAGGGCGGGTTTAGGGTTTAAGTTTGGGTTCAGGGTTTAGCTTATGCTCCGGAACACCACCAATCCTCATCTTGGCAAAGCAGAGATCCAAAACGAACAACCTCAACAATCGCTCCTTCCTGCGGTCTGCAGTGTTATGGGGTTGGTTGCAGGGCCTCTATATGGAAGCACGAAGAGCCACTCTTCGTCAGGGTTCCTCGACATGATGATAGTGTAATAGATCAAATGCCTGTGGAAAAAATGATTATCCAGGCCTCCAACCCCTAAGCCCTCACCGTAAGCTCTCATCCCTAAAGCCATCCCCAATTCCCCCAGATTGCGGAGTTCCCTTCGCTGTCTGGCAGTCTGGTTTAGGGTTTCGGATTCGTTTAGGACTGCGGATCTGAGGTCCACGGGTCAGGGTTCAGGGCTTAAGGGATGAGGGGCGTTAATGGTTTAGTGGCTTAGCGTTTGGCATGATTTGAAGCATATAGAGTTAGCATCCCGATCAGGGCACTCAAACATGCACTCACTTGCATATATCTTAGGATCGCGTTTGAAGGGTTGTTGTTGAACAACACCATCATCAATAAAGACTGCTCCTTGCCCGTGTTTAGTAGCAGTAGTAGTAATTGTTGTTGCTGTTGTAGTGCTACGACTGCTCCTTCTCCTCCTCCTACTACTACTACTGCTACTGCTACTGCTACTGCTACTGCGACTGCGACTGCGACTGCGACTGCGACTGCGACTGCGACTGCGACTGCGACTGCTGCTACTGCTACTGCTACTGCTACTGCTACTGCTACTGCTGCTGCTACTGCTATTACTACTGCTACTGCGACTGCGACTGCGACTGCTGCTACTGCTACTGCTACTGCTACTGCTACTGCTACTGCTACTGCTATTACTACTGCTACTGCGACTGGGATTGCTACTGCTACTGCTACTGCTACTGCTACTGCTACTGCTACTGCTACTGCTACTGCTACTGCTGTCTCAGCCAGAGCGGTAAGAAATGCACCCTCTGAGCCCCACCGTACTTTGCGAAGGTAACCAATTCTAGCTGGCACCAAAGCCTCTGGAAGTGTGTGTCATGTAAGTATGTATGTATCAGGGAATTGGTGTCGAACGCTCGAGGCTGCGGCTTTCACCCGAAGAATGCTCTCAACATCCCCTACCAAGAATCCAAGCAACGTCAAACCCAAAAGGCTCGTTGGACCCTGAGCCATGTCAAGCCGAAGCCACTCATGGTATATTGCCGAAGCTCCTGTCGCTCGAGGTCCCTGCGGCGCGGTTGCGTAGCGAAGGTCTCTTGGACTTCCTCTAACCGTAAACCCCTTACATATGCATGCATATCTTTGGTATAGAGAGAGCGAGAGAGTCGTTTGAATATATGCAGTTTATTATGCTAGTTCATAACATATGACATGAAAGCATGGAATAACATTGTATTGTACTTTGCCTTGTGTAGCATTCCATTACATTATGTCGAAAGATATCATATTGTACGATATGCTATGGTATCATGTCATGATACAACCTACTATATTATACTATATTTGTGGCATACTATATTGTGTCATATCACATTACATTACATAACAACCCCACCGCCGCTTTAGCTTTTCGAAAGGGGTCTCGGGCTCCAAACCGAGGCGCTTGGGCTTGCGGAGCCTCGGAGTCTAGAGTCCCATCCTCGGGCGCTGCAGTTTGCAGTTGTAGAACTTCAGGTGTAGGATTTGGGCTTTGGCTTCAGGATTTGTAGCTTCAAGTGAAGCAAAACCCATTACAAATCCTATAAGACTTGAAACAGATATGCCTTCAAACCCAACAAGTTCAACCTGCAGTCCAAACCCTGAGACCTAAACCTTGCACGCCCGCAAACCTAGCCTCCAGACCCTGAAACCAGGAAGGATCCCATTCTCGGGGCTCAAGGACCAGGACAGATGCCAGAAACCATGAAGTGCTGGATCCTTGCTGTTGTGGTCGAACCCCGTAAGAACCCCGACCCACACCCCAAACCCCAAACATTCCATTCCCTTGGAAAATCGGGGCCTCAATCGCTCTCGGAGACCCATCGGCGCCGACGCAGGGAGCACCTGCAGCGGTAGGGTTTTGGAGGTTTAGGGTTCAAAATTTCAGGGGTCAAACCCTAAACCCTAAATTTAGGGGTTGCGGTTTTCGAGTTTGGGAGGTCTGCTCTAGCAAAATCATCGTGAAGCGTAAGGAAGAGTTTTGGCAGTGATTTTTGAAGGGGCTGTTTAGCGGAAGATGTTGGTTTGGGGCTTGCGGGACCCTTAGGGTGAAGAAAGTTCAAGACGTCATGATCACCCTGATAGAATCATGCTAGGGACCCGCAAAGGTCTGTTCCGACCTTGCCAGTGTGCGGGATTGAGCGGGGCCTTGGGGCTTCAGTGCATGTAGCGGTGTAGCACTTGGTGTTTAGGTTTACTGAAATTCATGCAGGGTTAAGGGTCTCGGGCTTACGATGCAGGATTTCGGGTGCGAGGGCTTCGGAATAAGAGTTGGGGGCCATTGGGTCAGACGTGGATGCGGTGTGAACGTGTCGCGTCTCGGGCTGGGGATGAAAGGCTTTGCTCGACAGTCAAACGACTGAGCAAGTAGATTGGGAGAGTACACCCCCCAAAGACAGGGTCTCAGGCTGAGGGTTCAATAGAAATTAAGACATGAATATAAACAACAAATAAATACATGTGTATATATATATATATATATACACATACACTTTCCTATACTCTTTTTTTGATAGCTCTGGAGGATGCCAAGATCCCTCAACCCCACACGCGCAACCGCAAACCTTATACCATGGAACCCTAAACCCTATAAAACCTTAGATATCCCAACACCCGACTTAAACCTCTTTGATCTAAAGACCACCCTTACAGCCCTGCACAACACCTCCAAATCAACCTTCTAGAACCCTATAACCCCAAAGCACTCCACGCGAACACAGGTTTGAGGGCTTAGGTTTTCAAGGTCTGCAGGAGCTTGGCCTCTGCTGGGCTCTTGCCATCGGCATTACCTGTGGGCGGGGAGGGTTAAGATCAGGTGAGGGTTCTACTACCAAGGTTCTATAGGCGCTACAGGGGGGGGTTAGGGCCTTATTAGTCCACAGCTTTCAGGTTTTGCTCTCTTGAGCTGCTACAAAGCCTGCTTTAAACCGCAGCCGTAAATCTCAAAACCTGCAACCGAACCCAAACCACGCACCCCCAACCCGTGCACAGATTCTTCAAGACCTTCTACCCCCGAAACAAACCCAAACCCGGAACCCCACAGCTCAAGTTTCGGAGGTTGACTGGATGAGCACGGTTACAAGCCCTGGTATACTGAGCGGCAGGAGTAGTAGCAGTAGTAGTAGTAGTAGTAGTAGTAGTAGTAGTAGCAGTAGTAGCAGTAGTAGCAGTAGTAGCAGTAGTAGTAGCAGTAGCTAATAGTAGTGTTCATTGTTGTTGTTGGGGAGGAGGAGGAGGACTTCTACTAACATTGCTGTTGTTGTTTGCCCGCCTCTGTGGCGTCTCCTGCTCCTAACTCTGTATGACTGGGAAGCTCAGGGTTAAATCAGGTGGAGGGCTTTGGTTTGTGGCTGAGGAACTCAAGCCTAGCCCTTCAATACATAATCCGCCTAAAGAAAAATGTGTTTCAGTATCTTCCAGCAATGTCAACAAGTTGTTTCTGATCTTTCGACGCAGCCCAAGCAGAGGTCGAGATGAGGATCCTCGAGCAGCTGCGTCAAACACAAAGCAGCCGAGCCTGAAACCCCCCTAAACCCAAAGCCCCTCAACACTGAAATATTGAACTCGGACCTGCCTGGAATCTTCAAGCCTCAAGCCACAAGCCCTGAAGCCGCACCATGAAGTCCGTGTGAAGCCTTCGAACCTGAAAATGTGATGTAGAATGGCTCTACTAATTTGAAGGTACAAGCAGCATACGACGAAGGAGAAACCCTTCAAACACTAAACCCTAAACCCTTGACAAAGACCGCTTCAAAGGATGCTACTGCTGCCAGGCGACGCTGCGCAACGTTTCGCACGGCGTAGTCTTCACCCACCTAGGGTTGACTAAGGCTTAGCTTAGCGGTGTTAGAGGGCTTGGTGGTTTGGAGTAATGGCTGAGAACGACATGTCATGTGCACTGGCTTACCGCAGAGTCTTGAACGGCTCTTCAAGGCTTTTGGGGGCCCGAAGATGTCGCCTTCTCATACAGGGCTTTCCGAATTAGCTTGGTTGTGAACTATGGTATACTTGAAATGAGGGCCACGGCACCCTAAGCCATAATCTTGGTAAATTGTTCAGGCTTGCATAGCAGCTTGAATGAGCTTCTTGATACCATCATCTTCCTTTGCTGGTAGTCCTTTAACTTGCTGAATCTGGCTGCCCAAAACTCCGAACCCCAAACATACCGAACGCTAAACGCTTGATCCAGATTCACTATGATGCAACCACAGTCTTGTGAAAGATCCTCCACCATGGGAGCTTCCCTAAGTTGGGCTTCCCAGTTGTCTACCCTGAAAACTACATCGCTCTTATCACAAGGACCCTTCTGTACGGGACCGTGATTCTTCATAACGTTCCTATGAGAAACCCCACTTGATCTTAGGATCGGATGCGGACTGAGGACAGCGATGGCTGTTTATGATATTCAGGATCTGAGATTGTCATTCAAGGTTGGCGCAGCATCACTAATTGAAATATTGAACTATCAGAACAACCCATAAGGAATACTATTCTGACGGCTCAGGCCCTCTGTACTAGATGCATGTGAGCGCTCATGCAAACTTTGATATCGATACCGTTTCAGGTCCGGGGTGTTGAGTGATTCTGCTGCTCCCAGACCGAAATCCTCAGGCACAATCCTACACCTTACAGCCTTAAATGGCAAACTCCAAGCCAGATGTCTTAAGTCTTAAGCCAAAACCCCGAACTACAACCCCGAAATTAAATCCTACACTTCAGAACCCAAACAGCATCGAAACCCTGAACTGCAACCCACCTGCCTCCGGCAACGGCAGCAGCAGCTGCATTGCAATTGTGGGATCGCCTGCAAATTAGAAGCGCTTCTGCCCTGCCCTTTCCCCCCTGATGCCCGACTGAACCCTACACAAGCCATCAACCTCTCCAAACACCAGACCCTCCTGAACTCCTCATTTCAATACCGCCTGAAGCCTAGGCCCTCAAGCCTCCTGAAGCTTGCAACCCCACATCAACCCCAAGACGGGGTACACTCCAATTATAATACACACTAAGCATACCAGAATTGTATCAAATATACCCTGCAATTACAGTACAAAGAAACAACAGTCACACCGTAGGCCATCAACAGCTATACTAGAATTATTGGACATACTAGAGTTATACAGGGACCCCACCTCCTAAACCCAAAACCCCCAAATATATCCCCTAATAACCCTAAACCCCTAAACCCCGAAACCCCCCGAAACCCCGAGATCCCAAGAAGGAAACCCCCCGTGCAGCTGAGCGCACCAAGGCGGCAGGCGTAGTGCAGTGGATTCTCGCCCATGGCATCCTCGGCAAAAGCTCTTGGGGAGCTTGGGACTTGGGGGGGGGGGGGGGTTTAGGGATTTAGGGTTTAGGGATTTAGGGTTTAGGGTTTAGGGTTCAGGGGGTTTAGGGGGATTGGGAGCTTTGGGCTTTGAGCGTTTCAAGTTCCAGAAGGGCTCTCTCTCTCCGTTCTAGAACGAGCTTTCGAGATAAGGTTGCTAGAAGGCTTCCCATGTCAGGATTTTCGAGGTTGTACTCTAACGTTTCCGCGGCTCAGGGCGGTGGCGTTGTCTAGCTTTGATGGTTTAGGGGCTTTGCGTTCAGGAGTCCAGAGGTTTAGAGCTTTAGGGTTTGGAGCGTTCATGGTCTCGGGGGCTTCCCGTGGTTGAGCAGGGCTTCAAGAAGGCTGCAATCAAACCCATTGAGCTTCAGACGCCCCAAGAACAGATTCGGGCCGAGGATGTCGAAAGCAGTGTTTTTCAAAACGCTCCACATCTTTAGCCACGAAGCAGGAATGTGAGGGTCTGCCCCATCATCCACTAGTAGCTGCGCCTCGGCCGAGCTTCTCATCTTGCAGATTCGGAGTCAATGGTTGGATTGGATTCTGGGAGTAGCACTTTTAGCTTCGTCTTGCAGATAGTTCTAGGGCCTGTGCCTTCACTCCCTCCCACCGGTTTGTTCAATCCAATGACTGTCGTTCGGCAGTAGGAATTCATACCGACGCAGTCAGCAAATAGCCAAAGGCCAAAGGAAACGAACCAATAGGTTAAACGCCCCAGCGAGAGACAGGATGTCCCGCCGACCTTCGTTTGTGGTTCAGTCTTTGGGGGTAAGGCACCGAGAAACAGAATAGCTCCCTGAACCCTTGACCCTGCAAAGCCCATACCCCAAACACCCATGGCAAAGGTTTGAAGCTGTGTCTGCACTTCGGGCTGGTATCTTAACCCTACAGAGTCCTACAGGCCCTAAAGCCTAAAGCTCTGAAGCCTGAATCCTAAACAGCATAAACCCTGAAGCCTAAGGTCTGAACCCTAAATCCGAAACCCTAAATGAAGCCGTCAAGCTAGGCTTCGGCATCCCACCGCAATGCGGCCCACGGGCGCACGAGAGCTGGCCGTGCGCGAGAGCCACGTGGAGAGGCGTCTCCTGCAAGTTGGCCCCCATGGCACGCCCTTCGAGGATTGGGGCTAAGGGTTTAGGCCGTACAGGATTCAGGGTTTTGGGTTTAGGGTTGACAGTGAGGGTTCTACGAATTGGTGCTTTTGAGGCTGGATGGGCTTCCACCAAGAACTTGTAAGCGCGGTTAACGTCTGAGTTTGTACTGGTAAATGCATCTGTCGGGTCTTGCAGAGTACATGCTGGATCTCCAACGAAGTCAGGAGAAGTCCTGGCAACTCTATGAACCCCCTGACGCTGAATCCCCCGAAACCCGACTAAACAGTAAACTTTGAGACCGGAACTAGAAAGACACTTTCACATGTGCACCACTGACAGCCTTCAAGCTTCAAACTTAGACAGCAAACAATCCGAAACCCAAAATGACTGACCTCCCAACCCTGAAAACCTGAAGCCTAAAAACCTCGAAGCTAGTGGTATCTGTTGAACCCTTCGATTGCAACCCTCAGCCCAAAGCCTGAACCGAATCTTGTGAAATCCTAATCTGTGAAATCCGCGAGGGTTTAGGGTTTAGGGTTTAGGGCCAGACCGTCACAACCCCAAACCCCAAATCTGCTTTGGACACGAATGATTGGAAGCAGAAAGCGGGCGAAACGTGCGCCTGTGCTTGGTTTGACTTGTGTTTCGAGACGTTGGATGCTCTACCCTGGCAACACTCCGTACCCTCAACCCGGATGTTATCAATCAAGGGTTAGCCGTCAGTGCTGAAGCAAACCGAAAGCTCTCCCGCAGTCGGGTGCACTGCCGGCGCGAGGTATCGCAGCCTCATGTTGCTCTCTGGGTTTAGGGTTTCGGGCTTAGGGTCACGGTGTTTAAATTGTGGGTGTATGGGCCTAGATAACTAGGCCTGAAAAAGATATCTGGAAGGCTTGTGAGGGACTGGTCGCTCCTCAGTAATGCGAACCAGTATCACCAAATGCCCCGGTAACTTTGATTTGGATTGGAAGCAAACATCAACTCGTAAAGTCGGAGTGATGATAAAGATGATGATAATGATGATGATTACAATTATGTCTACTTCCGGTGCTGTCGAGACCGTACAAATCCGTCTAGCCTGCTTCACACACGGCCAGAAGTTCCGAACACTCAACGACGTGACCCGGATCCCCCATTTACAAGCATGCCAACGTTGAACATGCACGCCTGCACGTCTCGCCGGTTCTGAACATGGAAGCTCCTATCGTACTCCTGGCCGCCCTTAAAGTACTGTAGGTGCCTCACCCAAACAGATAGCAGACTGGGAAAAACTAATTTTTTACCCTCGAACCGACAATTCAAAACCGAAAACAAACACCAAGCCGTAAAGTGCTTATCTGGACCTTTATAATTGGAATAGGGAACGGGGCCGCCATAGCATAGTATGGTTCAGGTAGGTGAATACATATATGCAGAGAGAAAGAAAGAGAAGAGTAAGAGAAAGAGAAAGACAGAGAGAGAGAGAGAGAGAGATTGAGATTGAGAAAGAGACAGACAATAAGGGTATAATGTTCATAATTGTGAAGAACTCTGAGAGACATCCGCATAACGCTCTGAATACAATCCGTCATCAGAATGCCATCATAAAACCCACAAAACCCTTATGAAAACCTCCATAGCACACCCTGAGGCGCCTTCGGTCAGGAGCTGACTCAAGGCTTGGACATCACCTCACAAAAGGGTCGGCCACGCTGTTCAGGGGCAGAGGTGTGCCCGGGTTCAGGCTTCTCAATTCAAGTCCAAACGTCCGTCTACTAATATACAAGTTGCCAACTCGCGACCCCGAACCCAAATCGAAAGCCGAATCCACCGCTGCAAAGCACAAGTCGAAGACAGCCCTCCGTTCCTAAACTCGGTACCCCGATACCCCCCTAAACCCCACATCCCAACCCCCCTAGCCCTGCTGAGCCCCAGAATCTGTAAAAAGTCCAAGACCGAAGACCGCAGACCAAAGCCCGGAACCGAACCCAAACTCGGACCTTACACACCAAATGCCAAATTCCTAAACCCCTGAAGCCTACACCCTGCAACCGCGAAGCCGAATAACCCTGCAACCCGAACCCAGTCTCTTATTCCTTACCGTGCTAGACCGCCAGAAACCCGGCATCCAGATCCTGAAACTCGAAACCCTAAACCCAAAATCCAAAATCCCCCAGAACCCCAACCTTGCTTCGCAGCTTCGTGGAGGTCTAAGGGTGCAAAGCTCGCCGGCGAGCGTCGCAGGAGCAGCCGAAAACCTCACCAGGAAGTCCGGGCAATGAAGTGTCGACTTTGAAAACACAAGGAAACCCAGCAGGTTTAGAGTTTCGGGTTTAGGATTCGGAGCTTGCAGTACAGTTTAGTCTAGGGATTCGGGAGCAAAACTCCAGCTTCCACAAACATCGAGCACGAATGACCAAATCTGCAAACGTACAGCGACATATATATATATATATATACATATACATACATACACACACATATACATATATCTATCTCTGTATCTATATATATATATATATATATATATATGTATATACAGAACATCTGTATCTATGGATATATGTATACATGGTTATATGCATGTGTATGTATATGCACATATATGCACATACACAGGTACATTATATATATATATATATATATGTGTGTATATATATGTGTATATATATATATACATATATATATACATATATATACGCAAACATGTGTGTACCTCTATATACATGTATACACATAAGTTTAAATATGTATGTATATATATATATATGAGTAGGTATGTATGTATATGTATATGTATATCTACATACATAATGTGTATGTACTTGTACTGGGCTTCCCTAGGTGGCAAGAATTTGTTGGAGACCCCGCGGCTTCCTCCAAAAACACTTACACACAATATAAACCTTGAAAGTACCCAGCGGATGTATAGAAGAGATGTGTATATATATATGTATACGTATATTGATTTGTCATCTGCTTGCATACACATGCAAGTGGCCGCCACGATGTTCAGAACAAGGGTTTTGTGGTATATTCTACGCAGCATCATGATATGGAGACAATTACTCTAAACGGATACTGTATGCATTAGTTCGACCCCGTGAACCTAAGCCCTAAACCCTAAACCCCGAAGCCCTGCACCCTACACCCTAAACCCCTGAACCCTAACCTCCTAAACCAACCCCTAAACCACACACACCCTTAAACCCTCCACTATGTCCCAGAAAAGCCCCCGCCCGCCCAGGTTCGCCTAGTGCCGCGGCGGTGCAGGTCACCAGCGCCCGGTCGTCCGCCTGCTCGAAGCCACAGTGGCAGTACTAACAGTAATGGGTAGGAGTAGGCCTCTTGGCGCCTCTCGCGGGGCTCGGGAAGCAAGAGTACTAGTCGCAGCAGGAGGAGTAGTACTCGGAGTGGTAGCACCAGGAGCAGAGTGGCAGTAGCAGCACAAACCGTGGTGGCACAATATAGAAGAGCGGGAGTTGGAGGAGTAGATGCAAAAGCATTAGTCCGAACCGACTGAGCACCTCCCCGAACTGCCGAACTCGGAGTTCAGGCTTAATTCAAAGAACAGGGTATTGGGTTCCTTTATAGTGTAACTATGTTAAGGAATTGCAAGGAATAATATTGGTAACTTTTTAGGCACCTGTATGAGGTGAAGCCAACAGATTCAACGACGTCGGAACTTGAAGCTCAAAGGGTCAGTTGCAACTCCGTTCGTTGCGAAACCTGCCAGCCAACATTTTTGTTAATATGTGTATATGAATATACATACATGCGTGCGTTGGTTGCAGGTACCGGTATATACATAGATGTGTACGTGCATGAGTATGTGCATGTGCATGTGTAGGTGTAGGCTTTGGCGTAGGCGTAGGTGTAGGTGCAGGTGTATGTATATGTATATGTATACGCATAAGTATACTTATGTAGGTGTGTGTGAATATAAATATATATATATATATACATGCACACATACATGAATAAGTACATACCTACATACATATGGGTATGTATGTATATATGTAACCATACATACGTATAGTATGCATGTGTATCATTTCTGTCAGGAGCCGTTTCTAGAATGTGGCTTGAACACTATGTATAGCACCCTGAGCCCAAATCGTGCCAGATAGCAGGGCCGGGTGTCGGGTCAGAGGTAGGACGACCCTTTCACCGCAAAGAATCCTTCATAGGACCCTTTAAGAATATTTCTAAACCAAGAAATATGGAACCCATAGAGAACCCTGATAAGCCCTCACAGCATAACTGTAGAACCCAAAAAAGCCTCCCTGTCTGAATCCCCTGAAGCCCGCACGCCATGCTCAGTCCCCACCTCCCACCGCTCGCGGCACAAGAACATCAGCCCCGCTGTCACGACCAAGAGCAGGGCTCCTCAGCGGCGACTCTTTCTTGTTGCAAGAAAGTGATAGTGTTTAGGGTTTCGGATTCACGGTGTAGGATTTAGGCTGATGATGATGACGAGCACTCATCATGACGATGATGCGAAGACGAAGCTCAATCTTTCGTGCCACACATCTGGCCTGCCAACAGAAGACCTAGGGGCTTCGAGTTCAGAGGCTGAAAAGCTTTCAGCTGTCCCAGATTGTCTTGATAAGTCACCAAGTGGCCAGGCTCTCAACCGCAGGGTTGCGGATTCAACTCCCTGAAATGTACAAAGCCCTCCATCCCTGCACCTTGACCCGCACTCGCAGTGCCTGGGTCCTTATCTAACCACGCACCTTCACGCCTAAGATGTCTAGCCTTTGTCTGTGCCGGGCCGGCACACGAAGTGTGTTCAGTTCGAGCGAGAATGAGCATGTTAGTGGCAATGGACAAGAAAAGACTAAAAGAGATGGATAAACCGAACACAACGTGAATAGCAGAACAGAGCAGAAGGAAAGATAAAAAGAAAAATCATAGAAAACACCTGCGTGCAACCAAAAATCGTGTGACTGGACGATGTTGCATCGAACATGGACATCTGAACGTCACACTTCAAACAAAACGCTTCTGATCAAAACGTTTATACGAAGGGTCTGGAGCGTCAGCAGCAACAAACATCAGAACACAAGCTGTTGAAGGCACTATCCGCTCAAGGGACTGGCTTCAGTGGTTGATGCCTGCGTGGCTGGTTGCTCTAGTCGGCTTAATTTCTATCAGACCAGTGCTTACACGAACGCCACCTTCGCTTTGGATCTTCCTGGGAATTCGCAACTATACATGTGAATCCTGACCCCTCAGCCGCAAAACTCCGAACCCCTTCAGATCCCAAGATGTGCCGCACTCTGCATCGGGCGGCGCTGGCCAGCGATGAAGTTCGAGAGTTGGCGGGCCGGGAGCACAAGGCCTTTTTGGCGTTTAGGGTTCTGGACAAACCTCCCTTGGCAAGGTTTTTAACGTCTTTATAGGGTGATATTTGCAACCTCGCATAAAGGAGATTATGAGAGATCCTGATATAATGCCCTTACAGCCGGGAGATTTCATTGAACATCATGCGGCCTACCTTGGGCAGAACTCTTCTGCTGTTCCTTAGGCTTCTCGGTGTCTAGATCCTTTCGTTCCATGGCTCATGATCCTCGGAGTGCCTGCCGGCAAGGCGTTGCTTGCATTAGGACTTCGCAACTTGAGGCCGAAGCTGTCAAGGTATTTAGAGTTTCGGGTGTAAGCTTTCAGGAGTTGAAGGGGTAGGGTTTAGAAACCTAGGCTTTCGGATGTAGGGTTTAGCCCTCAGTGTTCGGTGGACTTCACAAGACTCAATCCCCAGAAAGGACCCTGGCAGCGAACAGCATGATGGTCGGAGAAGGTGCGTTTTGGTATGTAAGATCGATGTCTTCACAGTTGCTGAGATATATACCCATTTGTCTTGTTGATGCACACATATGTAGGAATGTTTTAGTGCTGTATATATGTACATATGTGCGTGTATGTATGTATGTATGTATGTATGTACGTACGTACGTATGTATGTATGTATGTATGTACGCACGTATGCTTGTATGCATACATCCATGTCTTCATGCATGCACCTGCATGCATGTATAGAGGAGCATGTATGTATGTTAGTCTGTATGAAGGCATGGTTGTATGTATGTATGTATGCATGCATGTAGATATTTATGTATATGGGACTGTGGCATCAACTCATACAGGCATGCACATATTTGCTTATGTATGTACATGATGTGTGTGTGTGTGTGTGTGTGTGCGCGTGTGTCAGTTTGAGACAACGGACGGCCGAAATCCCCAACCAAGACATGTATAAATACTTATGCATATGTATATATACACTTACACTAGTTTAGTGATCAACTGTCTTGGTGATGTGTGCGACAAGGAGAACACATCAGTAGGAATGTAAGGCTTTTATTTTGTGCAAATGTCATGCATGAAGACAAAAGTCTTGGACAACTGCCTTTCTGGTGAGCCTGACAACACACAGATGCCCAGAGTGCCTCGGCCCTGATCTTCAAAACTTCAAAGCACTAAAAACACAAACAAAAGCCCAAAACCATGGCAACAACAACAAAGAGAAGAATATTCATAGTGAACTAACGCTCAACATGATAGCAAAAAGACCATAACCATAGTCTTGCGTACTTATCTACCTACCTGCAGACAGACAGACAGACAGACAGATGCATGTGCCTTTGCAGACCTCGGATGCCACGAAGACCGGCCTGGCTCGTCCACGTACCGGCAGATGTCCACGAGATAAAGAGGAAGGCTCAGAACGAAGGCCTTCACGTGCTTGGGCTGAGGGCTAAGCTAACGCTTGGGTTTAGAGACTTCCGATTCAGAATCTTCCGTCAGGGGAAGCTCCGGGCTCGACGCTGCGGGTGCTTGGTGAAGGGCTTTCAGCGCTCAAGGCCGCCCGAGTTTTAGCGTTCGAGCTTCTCAGGCTAGGAACAGCATGTGGCCAGTACATGTTGTCCATTGCCGCTGCAGGTTCGGAAATTCATGATCTAGGCGGCAGCTTTTGACACTAGAGGTACTGATTGCTTATCTTGCTTACCAGCTTCGCTTGAGTCTCCGGGCTGTTTGCCCTTGATTTTTCTGTAGTCAAGGTTGCTGTTCGGGGCTTAGGCTCAAATTTCAAGCTGTCAAAGCCCACAAGCTTAACACCCCGAGCAACTAAGCTTTTACCATTTTGCCATAATCCCACCCTAGACCCGTCAAGCTTCAACAGCGACTCGTTCATCCCACCCTGAACCCTCTTCCCCAAGAACCCAAAATCCTCCAACACCGCCGACCGGAAACCCAAGTACAACCCTCATAGAACCCGTACGGATCAAGCCGTAAGGGAACCCTTCAAGTCTCTTAGCGCAGGCCTTGACAGAAGCGCCTGAAACCACGGACAGGGCGATCGCGCTGATCGCATAGTCCAGCAGCCTCGGAAGGAAACCCTTGAAGCGGCTTTCAAAGCTCCTTTTTCGCGAATCTTTGAGGAGTTTCGCTGACAATGCTTTTTTCTTGGGCGGTCCGAGAGAAACCCGAGGAAGCTGAGAACAAGATCTGAAACATGAAACTCAGTAGGTTTGGGGATTTCAAGTTCGTCACTAAGGTTTCACTTGCCCCACCCCGATGCCTTCCGAATGATAATCCAGCAAAACGCCCTGACGTCGTGGTGACTGTTGGGCTGCATACATCCTGCCCATGCACGCCCCCGCTGCAGGCAGCTGTCACTAGTACCCACATTGCTCACCTCAACTGCTTGGGTTTATCGTACTGCTGCTTCTTCTGACAGGTGCAAGCTCTCAAGCACGGCAGCACAAAGTCCCCGACGAGAACCCAAGGCTAAACCCCAAGCTTGAACTATAGGATGGTTGTATGGGACGGCACGCTGGGTATGGCTGCCTCATCCATTGGCTCCCCAGGACCCGCACAGACACCGAAGCGCACAGGCAACACGGGCCGTGGATCCCCGAACTAGACGTGGGCGCAAGGGCCGGTAGTGAGTCCACGCATCCTCCATTCTCACCCTGAACTCTAGAAGCACAGACCAGGAACTGACCGAGCACCAGAACTTAGACTAACATGTTTGTAGATCCCATGAAATTCTTGAGACGTCGTGAACCGTGACATCTAAATTCTTCTATATGGCGCCTACCACACTCGATGAACCTCTTAACTAAACCCATACAGATCAAAATGCCTAAGACTCATTATCCTCCCCAGATACGGATCTGGATTGCTAACCTCTGCCCTAACGCAAAACTCCCAACAAGCTACGTGTTAGGCATTAGGCCAGTAGGTCCTGGGGACCGTTCGGATAACAGTCGGTCTCCGGGTCCGAAACAAAACTGCACAGCCGCGGCGCAATGCCGCCACAGCTGCTGGAAGTCCCAGCTCTCGCTTCACGCTCCGTGCCTGGAAGGTTGCGGTCTGGATTTGCAGGCTGTGAGTTCAAGTGAGTTCGCTCTGAGTTCAGAGGCGTGGCGTTTATTGGCTCGAGTTGAAGCGCTCGCTGAGGCTTTAGTGCTCTAGGAAGTTGCGGACTTAGGATGTGCGGAAGGAACCGGGCTCACAACAGGGCTTCCATGCATGTGTCATGGCTTGCTATTTATGAGGCCTCACGCAAAGAAGTTACCATAAACCCTGAAGCCTTACACCTAAATCCTAAACACCGGCATCCGACACCCCGAACACTAAACCCGAAATCCTGCCTAGGATGTGGAACCCAAAACCCAAAGCCGCGAAACCCTACCGCAGCCTACACCCGAAACGCTTAAACTGTAATCCTGATGAAATCCTGCCCAGGCACGAAGCACACCAAGAGGGGTGCGCGCAGCATGAGCTCCAGAAGGCGGCTGCTCCAGTGGTATACTGCCATCAATGAACAAGGAATTGTTCGGACTTTAGGGTTTACCTTCGGAGGTAAGGGTTTCAGGTCCAGGGTTTAAGGGTTGGGGGTTTCGGGTTTACCAGGCTTTGATCTCTTTCGGCGGTTTGCAATGTAAGGTTTTGGGATTTCAGGCTCCCTTGGGGCTTGGGGTTTACCGTTTACCACATATGACAGAGCGCCATCGTGACAAGGACATGAAGATAAGGACCAAGCTCTCCCACCACACCCAGTTAAAGACAACGACGATCACGCAATAAAGTGCTCTCTAGGGTTCTATGAGGCCTGTACAAAGTTTCGTTAAGCGTTGTTTAGGGGTTCTGTCAAGGTGCGATAAGCAAACAAGAAAGACCCGGGCAAGTGCGGCCAAGGCGATGTCACAGGCACATGCCCCGAAAGAGCAAACACCAATGCTTGGGAAGTCGGCTTGAACCCGAGTATGGAACCCTTTCGAGCTCAACGGTGCGGCCGGGCTCCGGGGGCTTCAGTAGGGTGCTCGGGTTCAGGATTTGTGGTCGGGGTTTAGGGTGTACTTCTTTTTGTTCACATGAAACCAAAGATCTCTCTAAACCCAGCCCCACTGAACCCTCACAGAACCCTGATGCCGGCACTTTCCGCTCGGCAAAGGCGTGGCAGCCCTCAACAATCCTTACAACCCCTATTACATCCCTTTCAAAAGAAATGAATGTCCTTATGGAGCATGAGCGCAGCAGACCCTGCAAAACTGGCCCTACCTAAACTGTCCCAGCCTCGAAACCACCAGTAGTTGGCGTTGTACTCCCTTGCGGGACGACAGCTGAGCTGGGGTTCAGGGAGTGTGATAGGGTTCAGGGGTGTTGGGGCCCAGGCTTTCATTTATGATCCCTGGATGGTTATAACTCTCCCCATCTTGGGACTTTGAGTTTGAGGCTTCGCTTCCGTTCTAGGTTGAGGGGTTACAGTTTCGGGCATCCTTCTGCGGCGGAAAGAGAAAGGAAGGCAATGCCCTTCTACTGGTTGAGCTGTTTTCTTCGGATCACGCGGACGGTGCCAGGAACTGTAGAAGTGAGTGTAGGTCTCACACAACTCTGTCGTAAGCGAAGTATCCACGAATCGACGACACCGCTGCTGTTCTTTGGTCGGCATTTGGAGCTAGCGCAAAAGACAACACATTGCGTGTAAAGCTATAACCCAGGTTAACCCAGGGGGAAGGATGCCTTCTGTTGGGGCTTTCGTGGAGGGCTTGTTGTTTTGGATTGACTCTGGGCCTCTGGTCCTGCGTCCCGGAGCCAAAACCCATCTGCTGTTCCCCTAAATGGCACTCTGCCGTCTCATCGTAGCTTCATGTGGATTCTGGATAGATCTTTTTGGCTCGAGACACCAATCTCCCGAAACCTGCACCCGGGAACCCTTGAATCTCTACTCACCGTAAGCCCTAAGCCCTACACCAGACCCTAATGATTTCTTCACAGCTGCGCCGCTAAAAGGCAACAAGTAGTAGCAGTAGCAGCCGTGGGAGCAGTAGTACGCGTAGGTTTGACACTCGACTCTGGACCCGAAACTCCCATACCCTCAGGATTTCAAATCCGATGTGCAATTTGGGGTTTAGGGTTCCGGAAGCGCTTGACGGCGAAACCTTAAAAGTGACACAGCGCAAAAGCCGCTCACAGCGGGCCTTCGGATGAAGGCTGAGGCCTTGAAGTCGAAAAGGACGATCCTTGAAAAAAAGGCCATGGTTGGGAAACCTGGTGGGTTTGGGGTTTGGGGATTTCGGGTTTTAGGGTTTCGGGTTTGGGGGGGTTTTTGGGTTTAGGGCGGTGTAAAGTTCAAGTGCTTAGCGATGCCGGGCGAGGAAGCATGTAGAGAATTCGGCGGGCCAAGAGAGTTACCGTGAACTGAGTATTCGGTTTCAACCTTCTTGGAGCACCAGCAGATGCTTCGAATCAAGAAAGACTGGATTTCAATTGTCTGGGAATTGGCACGTGTTGAAATACCCTTTAAGTTGCATAATCTGCTATTTATCCCATAGGGCACGGACGCCCTAAGAAGGATTGAGGCATTGAGGGCTCCAAAACCCCAAACCCGAAAACCCCACAACCCTGAAACCCTCAGGCCCTAAAACCCTTGACACCTAGACTTCAAACCCTGAGCTGCAGGCCCCAAACCCTACCTTAAATGCCTCTTTCTGGATATCTACGCTTAGAAAACGCCGAGCAGGTTTAAGGTTTGCGAGGGTCTGAGGCTTTTAGGGTATATAGGGTTCAGGGTTTAAGGCCCGGAGGTTCGAGGGTTTTAGGCTTTAGGGCTTCGGATTTAGGATACAGCTTAAGGAAGTGGGGGTCGCTGCTAGTCTCATAGACGAGGCTCGCTTGGATCATGCTCGCAACGGTCAAGGTCAGTGTGCTGAAGAAGAGCCAGAAACGGAAGGAGATGTGCTTCCTCGGAGGAAGCGGAGAGGTGTACTGCCGCATACCACTGCTAAGCTACCAATGACTGTCCTAGTGCGGGAACTTGGGGTCCCTCCTACAGCTGGCTAGAAGCTTAGTTTCAGAGATGGCTGTTAGTGCTATAGAGTTGCCTTAGCTGCCTCTACAGGCTGCTGGAACTTACATGCAACCCATGATCCTTGGGGAAGACAGGTTTGTTCCAGTTGTTGGAGCTGCTGTTCCCGAGGTCGCACTCAGAAGATCGCAGACAGGAAGCAAAACAAGAAGCCAAACCCTCAACCCCATGTGCACGCTGTCGGAAAAGACCCTGATCTTCTGATTGAAAGTCCTAGGCTTGGGTTTGGAGATTGGGCCTGCTCCTGAATGCAGAAGGATGTCGGCTTAACGTTGAAAGTCCAGGATTGACGTGTTGCTCCCTGTTGTGACAGCTTCGAATGATTCGGCAACCAACGAACCTCAAACATCACCATGTCATGATCCCTATGACCAATGAACAGCAGCAACTACGCACAAGCAACCACTCAACAATCATCCCATGTGCTTTCGGTGCATTTAAATTCAAGGTGGTTAGTTCCGGCCTCAGGATTGCCACAGGGTTCGGCATTCGGGGTTCTGGGCTAGGGGTGAGGATTTGCAGGTTTGCGGCTCAGAGTTGCAGGTTTATGAGTAGGCTTGGCGAGCAAGGTTCCCCGAGCCCTGCGCCAAGAAAACAGCAAGCATGAATTGAGTCATACACTCCCCAATGACCAAAATTCCCAAGCTCAAGAACTCTAATCCCTACATCCTCAACCCGTAATCAGAACTCTTAAACCCCGGATGCTAAAACCCATGGCCTTAACAGACCCTGTCGTGCGAAGTTGCCACTGCAGCATGTGCAGGAGGCAAACTACGCGTGGAGCGCCGGTCCTTAAGAACGCCACTGTAGAAAAAATCCGGTTCTTGTGCGGTGGTTTAGGGTTGAGGGTCATTTAGGGGGGGGTTTCAGGGCTTAGGGTATGCCCCCAAAGTCCCCATATGCTTGTACTGCACCCCGGAACCTTGTTCTCACTATTGAGGCCAAGACAGCATCAACTTCAAAGCCGTCACGAAATCCTTGCTGCAAACGCGATGAAAACAGGCCACCACTCCAAGCGCTAAGACCAAGAAGGGATCGCTTAAACCTCGCGGGTGTTTTGGTCTGGTTGTGGGTTTGGGGAGCCCGAGGCCTACACCAAAGCCCCGATCCCCGAAGCCCTGAACCTAAAGCCCCAGGCCAGAGCCCATCGCCCCCGAAACTCTGAACTCTCAACTGTTAGATCCGAGATGCATGAAGCGTATCAGGCAATCGAATGAACCGACGTCGCCCCAGATAAAGCTCCGTTTGCTAAACATCCTCAGCTAGACTTCGGCACAGCTGCCATCTGTCTTCCCTCATTCTGCCTAGGTCTACGGTCTGGAGAACATCTGAGGGATCCCTCAGCTCCGGATCTCTTCTGAAGCTCAGAAGCTTCTCTCAAGTAACACTTCGTTGACTCCATGTCAAAGAACATCGAGCCCTCAGGCAAATAATCTACGATGGGGCCTGAAGTTACCAATAATACTCTGCTTCTACTACCGAAGCGTACCTCTGAACCCAGGCGATTTTGGGCCCTAACTCTCTTTCGTGTCCTCGCAGCCTCGTGTGTTTGAGGGTAAAGTGTTTACGGTCGAGGGCTTGTCATGTTCAGGATCCCGCCCAGATGGCACGGCTCAAGTGGGTAAATATCCCAGATGGTTTTTCGCAGCTGAAGGCATCAATAACTGTTTTAGCTTGGGGTTGTAGAGCTGGGAATCGGGGTGTAGGACCCCCATGCAAGCAAGGCTAACTCAGAGTCTCAACGATCTTCTTGAGACACTGAGATACTGATGGCAAGCACAGCGACTCACTACCCGTCGCAACGCACTTTGGACATTCCATTGCCTCAGACCAGACACCACCAAGCCTGCAAGAATAAAACCCTGAACCCAGATTCCCAACACCCCGTGCATCTTGCGGCTTAGGGAGGTGACGGCACGATGTCTACTTCTCAGACTGACGTACCACTGATCGCTTCAGGACGCGGCCCAAGTTCTACAACCTCGCCACGACGCCAAGCTTTGCAAGCAAGTCACCAATCCACGCTCTGGAACGGGCCCCCTGAGTGTCTTGTGGGTCTTTCCTCATCTGATTTTGTTCCAATAGTGCTACGAAGTGTCAATATGTCAACCGACTGAGTTTGCTAGTCTGAGCACTCAGGGTTTAGATAAAGGAAGACGTAACCATCCATGTTCACTCGGGTCCCAGCCCCCTTACTGAATAGTGGCTGGAACCGACCCAGCGTCAGCTTGAAAACCTGAAGCTAACAATGGGGCTTTCCGGTTCCAGCGGTGGCGGTTGTTCCAAGCCAAGCAAAAATCCAAGAGTTTGTCAATCCTGAACTGTGGCCGATTCCACGTCCTACAATCCAAACCGAAAGCCGCCAGCCCTAAACAAGTGAACGTACTCCAAAACCGCAAGAGCCTTTAACCCTGCATTGAAGGCTCATGGGCAGTCATACGTAGGGTTGTGCGTACTTCACCTACGGGACACTTATGATGTCTGAAACGCACATCCCTGAACCCCTGAACCCCCAAACCCTAAGTAAACCGTAAAAACCGGGATCCTCTCGCTTGCCGGCCTTTCGGGGTGCGGCTGGCTTTCTCTGGCACACCTGCACGACACCCCCGACCCCCTTCACAGCCGGGGCGTATACGGGGGTTTATGAGATTCGTGACTGAGCCAGGGAAAAAGCACCCAGGCGTAAGTCGTCGACGGAACGCCTGCCACCTTCAGACCCTAAGCCTCGAACATTTGACTGCTGAAGACCAAATTCGACATGTCCGAAATTTGGTGCCCTAATGCGGGCAATCTGTGGGGTGGCCCGTGGGGCCGAATGTATACGTGCTTCCCAATTTGGGGTTTACAGTTGCAAGCATCTTTGGGGTCGAAAAGCAAGCCGGTGATGGATCAACCAACTCCAGCCTTTTCTAACCTCACCTGACGGCTTGGGATTTAGGTTTTAGGGATCAGGACCTCTGCAAGGAAGCAGGTGGCATCAGGGCCTTAGCTAAACTCTAAGCGCAATCCCTGAAACAAGAACTGCAAACCCTCAAAACCCCAAAGCCCCTGACCCTCACCCGAACATACGTGAATCTGCACCATGCGTTTCAGAGCGTAGGGCCAGGATTCTACCTCACCTGCTTCGGCCATGTCCGTTCAACAGACTTGGTGTTTGAGATTGTGTAGTGCTTGGGATATGGGTTTGAGGGGTGGGGGGAACTCGCCCTCAAGTTTAGAGCTTAGGTTTCGTGCGGCTCGCGATGCTGCGACAGGGATACTACGACAGGCTCGGGACCTAATCCCACAGAAATTGAACAGCTTCTTGGCACAGCACAGCAAGCATAAGGTTTCATAAGGTTTATGTAACATGGGGTTTCGGGTTTTGTGGACTTCTCGAATTGGTCGTTTAGGTGTTAGGGCTCCGGGTCCCAAGCATCAAAGTACGGCGATACGGCGAGAAGCAGCTAGGCAAGCCAACTTGTCGGAACCTCGAGACTCGGTGGCTTAAAGTTTAACACCACTTCCTGCCAACAAAAACGAAATTCATACAGAAAAAGCAGCTGCACACTAAACCTCCCAACTCCGGCACCACAGCGCTCTAGAGCCAAATATCCATCGCAAGCCGACAGTAGTCAATCCAGCTTAGCATGCTACGAAACTCGGAAAACGTCCGGCTGAAGAACGAATCCCGTTGAGCTACCTTCTTCAGTTCGGGGGCTTTCGGATTCCCGCGCACGCCCGCCTTCCAGGGCGACGCGCTCGATGATCAGCACCGTGTAGGCACAAACACCGCCGCAAACGATGACGATGAGGGCGTCGTAGCCTTGAGGCAGAGCTGTTTTGATCCTTCCTTGAAAGGTTGCAAGATTTGCCCCTACAGGTTCTAATACTTTGTCATCACATCCACACGATGCATATCTTTAACAATTCCGCTGCATCCCAGTTTAATTCAGAGCTTCCACGGCGCCCTTTCACCCGACTCAATACTCCAATTAGATGTTCCTAGTGTGCCCCTTCACTTTGGAGCCGAAATCCTCAATCCTTGATCCTGAACACTGATTCCACCCGGAATCAGAGCCCTGAACCCCAAGCCCGGGGAGACTAAACCCCGCATCCCTTTTTGGAGAAACCCGAACAGGGCCCGGGCAGAAGGAGAGGCAGCGCCAGTCGGAGGCCTGTGCCATCGGGCGCCGACGACAGAAAGGCGGAAGAGAGAAACACATAACCAACATAACGAATTAAAGAACAACACAAAAAACTGAGGACAGTAGCAATAATACTAGTTTAAAGCGCTCTAATAGTGCCCTGGCACGTTCCTGCAAGGGCTTCAAAACATGTGGTTCTGTAAGGATTTAGCGATGGTAAATCGCTTTAGAGCGGCTCTGAGTAGTGAATGGGGCACCTATCTTTTTGCAGTGCAGGGTTGCGGTGCTGAGCACACGGCTTCGTAAAAGTGCATTGTAGGAAGTCGCGAGGAGCACGGGTAGGTCGCATCACGACCAGAATCAAAGCACACAAGCACACACACACACACACACATACCCAGTCTGAGCTGGTTGTCTCTTGTCATCATCTTTCTCTTCACGCTTCGAATTGTGCTTCGAAGTGTGCGCTCTTCGAGCAGGCATACGAAGCTTGCATGCAGAATCTCCACAGAAAGTCTTCAGAAGCTCAGAATCTCCACAGAAAATCTTCAGAAGCTTGCATTCAGAATCTCCACAGAAAGTCTTCAGAAGAGATATGGTTGTTTTCAGCAGGTACGTTTTCACACTTACCATCGGAGGTCTTCGTTGGCCGCAGCTCCGATGGTAAGCCTGCGGCCCCCTGCATCCCCTGCATTCTCGTATATGCATTACAGAACTGTCGGAAAAGATGTCTTCCTTAGAAACAGGAATTCCACACACACCTACCCGGTCAGTGCCGGTTGGTAATGATTCACTCTCATAGGCTAGGTTCTAGACAAAAGTGATGTAACATCAACAACACAACAATAACGACGCGGACACGAAGAGAAACAGCAAACAGACGAACAACAACATCGACGACGACGAGGAAACGACGCAACAACCAACACCACAATAGCTGTGGCTGCAACATCTACACGAACGACAAGGACGACGGGAACGAAAAAAGCAACACAGGAACACGACGACGACACGACTGAACGAAAAACAATAATAACAACACAACAGGCCCGCTGCTTTCCGAGGAAAGCTTCGCTACCACAGGGGATGCATCATACTAGCAGCTTGGCGGTCTTCAATGAAAACATCATCTCAAACACCACCTTCAACTGCCAAAGGATGTATTCTTCAGAAGGCACAGTAATGTAGCAGCTTGGAGGTCTGCAGCGAAATCATCATCTCAAACACCATCTTCAAGTGCCAAAGGAGGTGGTCTTCAGGAGGCACATTAATGGATACATCATCTGGTAAAACACACATGAAGATAGTCCTTTCATCATAGCAGCTTGGCGGTCTTCAGCGAACACCCATCACCCAGGACACCATCCTTTGCGTCAACGGAGGAGGTATTCAGAAGACGCATTAGTAATAGACATCACCAACCTAAGCGCTCAAGACAACTATAACATCGGCGGCATCATCCTACATGTGTGTCAGAGCTTTTCGGACGGCCTGATTCCGAATCTTGACACACCGCCTCTGCAATAGTTACATTACCAGGCCGCAAAGGTTCGGGACTGCAGGAATTCTCTAGAGGTGGACTTCAGAATAATCCGTAGAAAGTTAGGAGCGCATGCATTCTCAGAAGGTATTCATCACACAGAGGTTCTTCATCGTTCGGATGTTTTCATATGTTTTCCGCGTCCGGATACGTTCATCAGCTGGGAGTGTTCACATCTCATCGTTGTTAGAAGTAGACTGAAGTCCACTATTCAGAGTGCAGACAAGGGACTCAGGGTCTATTCATCATGCCCCCCGCAGACCGAGGGTCCGGCAGCGCTTTGGCAGAATTACTACCGGGAATCACACACATACCCAGTCTGAGCTGGTTGTCTCTTGTCATCATCTTTCTCTTCACGCTTCGAATTGTGCTTCGAAGTGTGCGCTCTTCGAGCAGGCATACGAAGCTTGCATGCAGAATCTCCACAGAAAGTCTTCAGAAGCTCAGAATCTCCACAGAAAATCTTCAGAAGCTTGCATTCAGAATCTCCACAGAAAGTCTTCAGAAGAGATATGGTTGTTTTCAGCAGGTACGTTTTCACACTTACCATCGGAGGTCTTCGTTGGCCGCAGCTCCGATGGTAAGCCTGCGGCCCCCTGCATCCCCTGCATTCTCGTATATGCATTACAGAACTGTCGGAAAAGATGTCTTCCTTAGAAACAGGAATTCCACACACACACACACACACACCTGTCGACCGAAGGAACCTATAATCTTACCCTACAATATGAACCCAAGAAACCTTCACCTGCCGGAAAGCTGTTTCGAAACCTTCAAATCCTCGATTCCTGAAGCTGTGGCACCAGATACTGGAGGTCCCACCGGACGAAGCCTTCTCAACCTACTCCTGCTCGTACTCTTACTCGTCCTCCTCCTCGTGCCCCCTACTCCTACTACTTCTCCTCCTCCTATGCTCCTTATGTCGGTGCTGATGATGAAGCTAGAAATTCGGGCTTAAGGTTTACGGGTCGAGGGTTAAGTTCTCCCTACGCCCTCCCCTCAAGAACTCAGGCACAAGAAGCCAGAGGCCGTCATCCAGACATACATATGGCAGCTTCGATCTTTATCCGAACCGCTCGAGGCACACAAAAGCACGGAGGAACAAAAAAGTCAAGTTTAAAGGCTCAAGGCTGCTGAAGGTGGTTTTTTGCTGTGGAGGCTGGGCTTTGCTGCAGAGCTGCGGTGCGCCTTCTTCTTTGCTGAAGCGGGGCCTGCTGTAGAGGCCACCTTAAGCCTTTCTTGGTGTAGCGCTAACTCAACCCCAAAACCTGAAACCCAAACCCCCTGCAAACCCTATCACCCACAACCCCTTAAGCGCCAGCTGTGGAGAACAGGGCCTTGATCCAGGAGCGACGCTTCTCCAGCTCGGAGTCACAAAGCGCCAGGTACGACCTCACGCCGCCCGAACACCCCAGGGCCCCAGGGCCCGAGGGCCCTAGGGCCATGACCATGACGAAGATGCTTTGGTGAGGATAAACTTGAGGGCCAAAAGAGGGTTTAGGGACACCCTCGTGATTGAAACCCCTTCCCACCACAAGGAAGCTTTGTCTTGCTGGGACTGCACTAAACCGCGCCAGACTGAAACCCTAAGCCATCTCACTGTCTGCACTCACAAAACCCAGAAAAACCGAAGCCCGACAATGAACCGGTGGCCCCTGCCCTGCCCACCATACGCACACCACCTGCGCAGACACGGTCGTAATTGTGGTCCTAAGATTTTGGTGCTTCACGGTTTCGGGGCACCCCTGAAACCCGAACCTGTGCAGCAGCCGATCTATGGCCCAAGTAGCTGGATGTAAATCACCAGCAGCTGCGAGGGCAGCAGGCATAGCGCCTCGACTGCATGAAAGGCTTAGGATGAAATGGCCTGGCCTTTACATTCTGACACGGAAAGTTTCGGAAGTGAACGCTGCCCTGCGGGAGGAAACACTAACCAAGAACCCAACTCCCGAGAGGTTCTTGGCAAAAAATTGCTTACCAAGCTTGCTCAAAGGATATTCAGTCGTCCGATTCACGACACTAGAGTTCAGCAATGACTGACCGGATTCAACGACAACTTCACGTCCCTGCACACCTTTCAACCACAGTTCTGTCTAGCTTATCATGTAAACTCGATGTGTACACTGGGTATACCAGCCTATCCGTCAGCTTAGCGACATGAAGCCTCTCGAAGCCAAATCTGTACCAGTACTTGCAGAGTGCGACCAGCATGCCTGCCCGACAAAATTTGGGCAAACGTCGATAATGAGCTGCACTAAGGGCGACAAGGTCAGGACGACCTCGAGAATGGCTGCGACCAATCTGCATCACAAGCCCTGAATGACAGAAATGAAAATAGCCCTAAGCCCTAAGCATTATGATCACTACGATCTCAAAGGAGCCGCGGCACGTTTGCAAACTCCCCGGCTGCAGCCACGTAGATAAGCACCAGGGTGTTCATCCAAGTATCCAGCCTTTCTTACTTCAAGGACTACTCTCCCAGATCTCTTGGACCCTCAGCTCCCCCGAAACAAAAAAAACATCCGTGCCGAGTTTCAATCGTGATCGAAAGAAGTGGCTTTGTTATTGCTTCTGGGCACAGCTATGCAGTACCGAAGATGACAACAAAGGTAAACAAACAGCGAGCTCTCACAGCGATAAACATAAAAAAACGACCGTAAGAATGGTAATCATGAGGAGAGATCATCCTGAGAGGTCAAATGGTCGGAGAAAGATCCACGCCATCCCTTGACCGAGACCCATGGCTTCCGTTCATGCTCCAGACTCCTCAACCGTGGAACCCCGAGTCTTGAATCCTAAGCCCCAATGCGGTCCTATACCCTAAACCGACCCTAGCCCTGAATCTTTACAAGACGTGCGGAAATCAAAGTACTCCGCCATGGGGCAGGAAGAAGACCAAGACCTGTGAACGCGATGCGCACTCAGGGATCCAGGATCCCCGGGTTGGCTGAGGGGTTTTAAACTAGAGGGGCTTTAGGATCTGGAGGTAGGGTTTTCCTTGCCCCATCTTTGTCTGCTTAGTCGTAGATTCCATGTTGTTGGGGTGCTCCTCATGCGCGGATCATTGATGTTATAACTGTGTTTGCCAGCATTGATTCGCCATGCTTACACTATGATATCGGCCACACGCAAGACTATGATCCAAACCACAGAATACATACATTTCACCAAACATCACTGCTCCCCTTGCGCGAGGCACCTTGACGAGACCTATCTCGAATTCGGCGTCCACTGCGTGCCTGCGGTTTTTGTGGGGCGGCGGTTGGGGCTTACGGGGGGTGAAGGTCTAGGCCTAGGCTCAAGCTTCACGACTCAGGGCTCAGAGCTTACGTTCTGGTATGGTTTTGGCAGCTGTGCTTCTATGCTTTTCTTCGGTTTCATAGCCGAATTTGGAAGGGGCTTTTAAGTCGTAGGTGTTCCCCCTCTATGGAGCGCTGCATATCAGAGTTTTAACACCGGGTTTCGTGTGGCTTCATCAAGGGTTCATCAGGGTGCATGCAGTTTTGTCCGGCATGTTTGATGCTTCTTTATCAAGGCTTCGGCTTCGTCAGGGTTTCAACAGTTTTGCAGCCTCAGCTTTTAATGTTTTGGGGCCTGACAGTTAAGTTCACCATGTGAGGCTTGCGCTGCAGCCAGTTCGTGACCTTGGTGCCGGTTCCGACTTCTGCCTCAGGTGGGAACACTATGAATCCAACCCAAATGCATACCTCCTCAACACGACACACAAACGGGACAGATTTCTCCGAATATTATAGTCAGTCTGCTGTGGATCAGCAGAGCGATTTTGTGGCTTGGACTGGCAACTTGACGTCTTCGACAATTTGGTCAAGGTCTCCTGCGGGGCTGTAGTGCCGTTTAAAGGAAGTCTGTGTCAAACCACGTATTGGAAGGAGAAAAGCAGCACAGTCAAAAACGGGTCCGACGGCTGGGCGCCACCCTCGTAAAACCCCGTATTTTGCCGACGCTAACAGTTTCGGATATCACAAAAAAATCCTGACAGAAACCGACCTCCTCCCAGTCCCAGGTGGCGACCAGGTCGTGGCATTGCGCCGTGGGACCTCTCGAGCTGCCTCAGCTTCGGGAGATTTGGAGTTTAGGGGTTTGGGGTTGAGAGTTTAGGTTTAAGGGTTTAGGGTTTAGGGGCTTGGTAAGGCGGATATCAGGATTATGTGCGGTTTTCATAGGCATTGTCCTTACAATTGGGACTTGGGGTTGACGAAGTCGATGCTGTAGGGATTTGGCATGTGCGGCTTTCGGGTCTAAACCCTTACAGTCATTGGGCTTCGGATGATTATTGCTGGGATCCCATATACTTTACCTTGAAGACATAAGTTAACTGATGTTCCAACTTTGCGGCTTCTCTGAACCCAAACCCCAAACCAAAAGCCCTAACAACTCAAGGCTCGTTGAGTTTAGGGCTTCTGGGCTTCCATCTTTGGAACTTCGGGCCTTTGAGTGTCAAGGGAGTTTAAGGCTCAGGGTTTGCAATGCAACAACAAGCTGAAGGTCCGGCTTTGCAGTGCGAGGGTCTCGTTTCCGGATGATTGGCTTGCTTCTAATTTGCTTAGGTACCCTGCCGAATGCTGCGACACCTGGGACTTGGGGTTTGGAGCCTGTCCAAGCGTACCCAACACCTGCACCCCGATCGAAAGCCTGATGGGTGTGGGCGGTGTGGGGGTTGAACGGTTGAGGGTTCCGGACTGGGCTCAGCCAAAGACTTGGGCCGAGGCTTTGGACCACTGCCGGCACGCCTGCAATCGCTGCTCCTCGCGTGCCATCTTGGCGTAACCTCCAGGCTTCGCCAGGCGCTTACAAGTGGATGTTTGGGGCACACCGGGTCGCTCCATCCCTGGGATGGAACAAGGAGTAGTGGCAGTAGCAGTCGCAGCAGCAGTGGCAGTGGCAGTGGCAGTGGCAGTGGCAGTAGCACTAGCAGTAGCAGTAGCAGTAGCAGCAGTAGTAGTAGCAGCAGCAGGAGTAGTAGTAGCAGTAGAGTAGTAGTAGTAGTGGTGGTAGTGGTAGTAGTGGTAGTATGTGGTAGAAGAAGAAGTAGAAGAAGAAGTAGAAGTAGCAGTGGAACCAGGAGTAGAAGTGGAGAAGTAAAAGTAGAAGCAGAAGTAGAAGTAGAACGAGGAGGAGGAGGAGGAGGAGGAGGAGGAGGAGGAGGAGGAGGAGGACCGGCAGCAGCTGCAGCACGCACACAAACACCTTGAGACAAGCACATCCTCGAAAGACATAGCATACACGGAACAGCAGAGCCCACGCCAGGGTGCGGATGGACGCAAGTAAGCTCCGGGCTGGGATTTTCCAGCGCTTTCGGGATGAGGCCCATTCGGGACTGTCGGTGGTGTGTTCGGGTCTTCTTGGCGATCAGTTTTGCAATATGTCCTTCCGACAAGTACAGAACCGCGTCTGCAGAACCCTGAAAGTCGCGAAACTCCGCCCGACTCTATCAGCAAGAGATTGTGCCTTGGGCTTCTCTACCATAGAACCCTACACCCCTGGACCACCGCGCTCAACAGATTTTCCCATCACCAAAAAACCTGCAGCTACTACAATATTCAGATGCATAGAATCACCGACACTCTTGGCCCAAGAGGCGTGTTCTTCGCTGCTCATGGATGTCGAGCGTCTCGAAGCGATCGGAGCCGCTGCCTGTGGCAGCTACAGGGGTCCTTAAGGACTCTACGCGGGCTTGCTACGGGTCAATGCAGAAGTCGTCCTGTCATGTCCCCCTGAGCTCCGTGTTTTTGCTCCAGTCTCTACTACGTACTTGGGATACCGAAACCGAACCTTTTGTCTTATCAATCCCGAACTCCAAACCCTAAACCCTAGACCTTAAGCTTAAACCCTCAACCCCTCACCCTAAACCTCAAAACCTCAAAACCTCCAAACCCTGCACCCAAAACCTCAAACCCTAAACCCCAAAGTCCTCAAGGCTCACAACCTCGAACCCCCACAAACCCTTTGAAATCCCCCCTAACTACCCCAAGACTTAACATGCCTAAACCCCAAACGAACCCCTCAACACTCGCAAGCCCTAACCCTCACAACCTTAACCCCAAACCCCGCAAAACCCCAAGCCCCAAAGCCTGAACATCCCAAACCCCAACTAAAACCCCCAACTCCTGAAAACCCTGAACCCCCGAAACCCTAAAGCCTCGAAACTCCTCCAGACTCCTCAAACTACCCTAAACTCAGCCAAAACCGGCCCCTTAAACCGACCGAGGCACTCTCGACCGCCGACCACTCGCCACTGAGAGCCACCACCTCCACAGGCCTCGAGCCTCCAGTCTTTGGGATTTAATGGGATTTAAGGATTTAGGGATTCAGAGTGAGGATGTCTTTGAAGGGTTTAGGGCCGTTTAGGGTTTGGTTGGGAGCTTTGGGGATTAGGGATTATAGGGTTTAGGGATGAGCGCTTTCTGTCTTTAAGATGTAAAGGCTTCAAGGTTCGGGGTTCATGGTCAGGCTTCTGGTTTTGATGATGGTTTTACATAGGTTTTGCAAAGGTCTCCACAAGGCTTTAGGTTTTAGAAGTTAGGTTTGCGGCTTTAAGCTTCCAGGGCTTCGAACGGACAATCGGGATTAGAGATCCATAGAACTTAGGATTTAGTGCAGGGCTTCGGGCTCATGCGGCTTCAGGTTTTGGGCGTGGGATTTATCACAGGTTGTCGGGTTTCGGGTTGAGCAGGATCAGACGCAGAAGCAGGAGCAGAAGTAGAAGTAGACGAAGTAGCAGAAAAACCAAGAACTGGAAGCAGTTGTATCAGCCAGCAGAAGAAGGAGTGCTAGACATACTAGACGGATAGTGAATGCCAATGAGGCGCATCTTCACAGAAATGAGGGCACCCTCGTAGCACAAGCAATGAGAGCCGGGCTAAAGCTAGCATCAAGATGTAGTACTGGAAGTTGGCGATTGTGGCAGGTACAAAACTGAAAACTCGCATTCTTCGGGGTGCAATTTTCAATCCAAAGCGATCCTGCTCTAGGTTCTACTTCTACTGCTGCTGCTGGTACTGCTGCTGTTTCCACCGCTATAGCTATTTCGACATACGGCACTGGCTGGTGTCACTGATGCTACAGTCGTCAAAGTTGTACTATGTTGCTCTTTCATGGGACTGTTGCTGCGGCGGTTCTTGCGATTATCTGTGTTAGCGCTGTTTATGCTTCCGGCTACGATGTTCATCCTTGCAAATACTGACCCAGCTGATCCGGATGTTGGCTGAATAGTCGTGTCGTTGCTGAAAGCACAACGGTCATTGCAAACAGGCTGGCTGGCAATACTAGTGCGATTACCGGTGCGAGTCTAAGTCGCAGCATCAGCGCATGCAAACGAAGTCTCCCTTTTGCCACTCCTGACTTCGAACTACTGCCATTGTCTTGTTCTCTCGTGGTCGTTGACCTTCGGTTCGAAGGCAACCCGTGACCGACGAAGTATCGCAATGGCCCTGTTGAGTACTGTCCTACGTATACTTAAGCCAGCCCTCGACTTTGAAGAAACCCTAACCTCAAGCCCTCGAACCCAAGAAATGTAGCACGTTCTTAGCTCGTGGCCGATTCCGCCCTCCTCCGTTGCTGGGGCCTTTGACAATCGGGCTCGGCAGTCGTGAAACTTGTCGGATGCTGAAGGTTTAGGAATCTGGAGTCTGCTTTTCGGGTCGGGTCGACGCTTCGTGGCTCTGCAATGGCTCCAGCTTTGATTTGCAATCCGAGGCCCAATTGCAAATTTGGATCTTGGAATGTCTTTCAACTTGTCGGGCATAGTGACATAAATTTCGGAAGAACGTTGCCACATTACGACACGGCGCAAGCGAAGGCGACAATAGCGGCACAAGTGCAGAAGCAGAGTCATGCACATGGCCAAAAAAAGGGAAATAGCTCCAGTAAACTAGCAACGACAATGCTGGTCAATCAAACATGTCATTGCCGTATCTTTCAACACTCCGTAAGCATCTGCGATACCCGAACCCAGTTGATGGCCTCTACATATTCTACGGCATGTACGAGTCGCGAGGTCAACCAACCAGTACACCAGGCTCGCAGGTTCAAGACAACCATGTGGAAACCCCTAAAGTTGTGTAACCTGGAGCCAGGAGTTCGGAGCTGAAGCTGGACTCCCCTACTTCAATCCCGAAGCCAAATCGGAACCTTGACGTCAGCTCTCTGTGCTAAGCTCGTCACCGTCGGTTCGGAAGGATCGACAGGATCTGAGCACTCGAGGGTCTTCGGGACTGGGGTGAACCACTATCTGTCCTAACTCCTAACCTGCAGGAAGCCTTCGGCAGCGGTTGAACAAAACTTCCACGATTTTGGTTTCACATGAAATCACAAGCCCTCCATATTCTGCAAAAGGTGGACATCTCTCAAACAATACACCTCCTGCCAACCCAAGCAGGAGCAGTAGTGGCAGTAGTGGTAGCAGTATGAAAACGACGAGTAATGCTGAGTAAGGGCAATACGAGACAAGTGCAGAAATGCTGTTTGTCAATATAGTCTCAGCGCACAACGCCCGAACTCCGAACCATGAGACTGAATCAAGCCCGCATCCGTGGAACCCGACAACATGTGAGACCACTGAAATAAACCCAAGCCTGTCTGCCTCCACAACGGGAAAGCAAATCATTCGATCCATTCGGAAAATACATCTTGCTATCCGAAAGCGCAGCAATCCTGCCAGTAGTGGCGATTCCAGATCGTGTTTGGTCGCCATGGCCGCTGGCAGGGTCACACAGTCACACAGGCACACAAACCTCTTCGCTATCGGCGTAGCATAAGGGGTGCCGCCCTCCTTATGGTCCAGGGTCGTCGTCTGCAGAAATACCAGACGTCTAAAACTATTGAATCTGCGAGTGATCAAACTCACTATGAATGTAAAACTTCTTATACATGTGTTGGGTACACTGGTGTGAATTTAATTCATCTTCTCGCTCACAATTCACAAGACCCCTAACCTGAAATCATGGACAAATCAACTTGAGCAGCAAGTTTCAGGCAGATCAGGCACATGGCACCATGTGCGATGACCACCATGACGATGGTGATGATGATGAAAATCGTCGATGACTGTACCGAAGACAACACGGTCGGTGACGACGAACGTGAGAGTAAAGACAAGAACAACAATGAGGATCGGGGTTAGACGTTGCAAACATCAGCTAAGAACCGATTGGGCAGTGGTGGTAATGGTTGTAACACAATATGTGGACTTGCCTGGATCAGTGGGAGAGTTCATCAGAGGAACAAGGGTCAAAATGCGCATTCTCACACGAGACCGTTGTTTGTAAAACGCAGGCAACAGGTGTTGTCTTTTAGACAAACTGGCCTGAGAATCAAATTATTCAAAAACCATGCGACGCGGTTGCGCGGTTGTCCGATTCCCATGTTCTTCACACACGATCCGTCGATTTCCGGCCCCATTGTTTCCACTTCTCCAAATCCTCCAAATATTTGGAAAAAGCATTTCGGTTGTTGTTCACTCTTGAATTCTTCTTAGCATTCGTTGGAAAGCATCAAAATGAACTTTGTCCACACAACAAGAGCAACCAAACTTCCACCAATCGTGTTTTTTCCTGCAGCCTGAGCGGGTTTAACGGGTTTGGGACACAAAATGGACTTGGAGTGGCAGAGAGGTTTTCTGCATTTTTTTCGTGACAGTGGTTGACGCCTCTTTAAATACTCCAAGCATCAATGTGGTCAATAGCACGTGCAGCCGCAATATCCATCGAATCCTTGGCAGCAATGTCCAAAAGAGTTCTCAAAGCCTCAAGCGACGGCG